CGTTCTGGGCCTTTCCTTCCTTCCCGAACTCCCAAGAGTTCCCATGGTCAGTCTGGGCTCCGAAACATAGACAGTGAATGATGACAGAACCTCAGGAAGGACCCAACACACAAGCAGAGTGGGAGGTGTCACACCCCTCTCTCAACAAGTCATGTCGTAAGCAACAAAACACCCCTTAGATGTAGAAGATTCAAATAGAAAACCATCTCAACTATATTTGTTATCTATCTAACATCTTTCTATCTATGCAAAAACTGTTCAAGATATAATTTTAAGCACACTTGGCACATTTACAAATATCAACTCTATTTTTCTGTCCATGAAATAAATCTCAATATATTTCAGAGGAATAAAATCACACTGCTTGTTTCTGATAACATAATTGTGCTAGACGTCAGTAATAAAAAGCTACCTGAAAATTGCCATACGGTTGAAAATTGAAAGGTATTCTTTTCATAAATGTAAGAAAAAAATGCAAAATAAAAAGTGACTATATTCAAACAGCATGACATGATAATATGGCAATAAAAGAACTTCTGGGAAGTTCACCCTTCTTGGCTGGGAATTGCACTTCATGTAATAAGATTGTGTAGTTTCATATCACCCCTAACTAACCTAGACATGTGAACATCTGAAATGGGTGGGTTTGCCCTTTATCTATGTCACCTTATTGCCTGTGAGCTTGGACTTTACATTTTGAACTCAAATGGGGGAAAAACTAAGCTGACTGTCAGGTGACCTCCCAGGGATCTTCAAAGAATCAGTGCCTTTTAGCAGACAAAGTTCATTATCTTCTATTCTGGGGTGTTTGGGGACAATAGTCAGAAGGCTTGGCAGCAGCAGGAGTGATGGGTGGGGAGTGCCCAGCTGGAGAGCAGAGCCCAAGGGGCCCAGGTGACCAGGACAAACCCCTACTGATGATCATCTTTGCTGGGCCCTGCCCTCAGCTGAACCTCCTAAGGGTTTTATTCTGCCTGGTCACACAGAACGTTCCCGAACTCATTCAGGCCTTGGACAGCTTAAAATCACTGCTGTGCACCCCATAGCTCTCTCTTCTTACATAACTGTATTGCACATATGAACCATTTCATCATTTCTGTAAGTGGAAAACCAATGTCTTTTATCACAAGTAAGCTGAAAAATAAGCAAAACAGAACTATAATGAAAGAATAGTATAATAGTATTGCATTCTACTTAGATGCTGTTGTCTAAAGGACCTCAGAATAGGGTTATCGTGATCATGTAAAGAGACCAGGTATAGGAGCAGTCGAAGTCAGATTAGCCCAAAAGTGAATGGGACAGAGACCCAGGGTTTCCATGAAGGGTTGCCAGGGTCACCCTGGGTATAGCCCAAGCAGAGACAGGAAAAGGAAGGACAAGCGGACAGTTTGGGGCCTCAAACAGGGGAGGTCATTCCTGCAGCTCGGGAAGTGCTCCCCAAAGCCAGTGTCCCACCCATGAGGTGCCCTTCATTGCCCCTGGGGGCAGGGCCAAGGGGCTGACCAGCAGGGTGACCCTGGGCTGCTGTCCTTCCCTATCAAGGGAGGCCCAATGCCTGCTACAAAGACTGCCATGAGGACAGGAGGACGTGGTCTGTTGACCACCTGTGTATGTGCTCATCGTCACCTCCCAGGGCCATCTTTCCTTTCAAAATTGACACCTTGGTGGGTCCACAGCTGTTAAGAGCAGTAATGAGCCCACCATGGTGTTTTGCACCTGTATTACCAGCTACTTGGAGAACGCTTTAGCCTGGGAGTTCAAGGCCAGCCTGGGCAACATAGCAAGACCCATTTCCCTAAATAAATTAAAATAAGATTAAAAAAAAAAGGCAGTAAAGATGATCAGCACAGCCCCTCCTGTACCCACCTGTGCTAAGTGCTTCACTTCCTGTGGGTCACCTCCTGGTCCCACAGGAAGTCCCAAGAATGTCACCAGTGAACTTCCAGCATAGGTGCCTCCACGTAGAGTCTGCTTTTGGGGGACCTGACCTTCTAGAGCTGTCCTTTCCTTTGGGATTTTCAGGATCTGCTCCCTCCACTGGACCCTCCCCCAGGGACCTCAGACCACACGCAGCATGGCCCACTACCACGCCCGGCAGGCAGTGCTCCTGGCTGCCATGGCCCTTTGGAATTGGACAGCACAGACCTGCCCTCCCACTCCTCTCACCTCTCACTTCCTCAGTACGAGGAGGTCGAGGAGCCTGCTCACTGGGTGCTTGATCCCTCAGAGGCCGGCCACCTCTTTCCTTCTCACTGCTGTCCTCACTGCATCCACAAATTTCACTATGTCTTACTTTATTAGTCATTATATTGAAAAATTTAACATTTATGTTGAGAAAACTTCTTTGATCCGTGTGTCCTTTCAAAATATGTTGTTTAATCTTCAAATATTTTGTAGTTTTCCAGCTTTCTGTTATTGATTTCTAGATTAATTTTGTGGCCCGACAGCAAACCTTCTAGGATTACTGTTTCTTTTAAGTCATGAGGGTGTGTTTTATAGCCCTCAAGGTACCCTGTCTTGAATATTCAATGTGAACTCAAGAAGAATGTGCATTCTGCTGTTGTGGGATGAAGGATTTTTATAGATGTCAGTAGATGCAGTTGATTGATGGTGCTGTTCAGTTCAACTGTATCCTTATTTATTTATGTATTTATTTATTTTTGGAGACAGAGTCTCACTCTGTCAGCCCAGGTAGAGTGCAGTGGCGTCATCGTAGCTCACTGAAACCTCAAACTCTTGGGCTCAAGTGATCCTCCTGCCTCAGCCTTCTGAGTAGCTGGGACTACAGGCATGCGCCACCATGCCCGGCTAATTTTTCTATTTTTTGTAGAGATGGGGTTTCGCTCTTGCTCAGGCTTGAGACTGATTATGCACAACTTATACCTTTTGTAATTGTTGCAGTGGCCTTAGATTTTCTCAGTTATATCTTTTTTTCTGTTTTCATTTTACTTTTTGAAGCTTCTACTCACATTTCCTCAAGCTCAGTGATTCTCTCCTTAGCTGTGTTGAGTCTGTTGATTGAACCTGTCAAAAGCACTCCTCATTTCTTTCAGACTGATAACAGGAGCAGCTGTTGTTTGTCTCTCCTTTTTGCCTTTGTGAGGCTGGCTTATCAGGGTCCTTGAAATGTGGTCTTAGCAGGAACTGAGACAGAGAGCTCACACCCTTGCTGTCTGTTTAGGGTACTGCAGTGCCACTGTTTAGTTATGGTTGTTCTGCTTTCATTTTGCTTGTTTTTTATGGTTTCTTTGTACTTATGATAAGAGACATTGGTTTTCCACTTACAGGAGTGATGGAATGTTTCGTGTGAATACATAGAGTTATGTAAGAATAAAGAATTATGGGTTATGAAGCAGTGATTTTAAGCTGCCCGAGGCTTGAATGGGTTTGGGAGCATACTGTGTAATCAGGCAGAGTAAAACCTTCAGGAAGTTCAGCTGAGGACAGGGCCCAGGTCATCAGTGGGGGGTGGTCCTGGTCACCTGGGCCACTGGGGCCCTGCTCACCGGTGGGGCACTCCACACACATTACTCCTGCTGTTGCCAAGCTCTCTGGCTAGTGTCCCCAAACACCCCAGGATAGAAGCTGATAAACTTTGTCTCTTAAAAGACACCAATTCCTTGGAGATCCCTGGGAGGTAACCTGACAAAGTCAGCTTAGTTTTTCCCCATTTGGGTTCAAAATGTAAAGTCCAGGCTCACAGGCAGTAAGGTGACGTAGATAAATGCCAAACCCACCCATTTCAGATGTTCACAAGTTTAGGTTAGTAAGGGGTGATGTGAGACCACACAATCTTGTTACACAAAGGGCAATTCCCAGCCCAGAAAGAGAGATTTTATTACCATATGATCATGCCATTCAGATCAAATATATTGTTTTCTTTTGGATTTTTTCTTACATTTGTATTTTACTCAAAAGAATACTTCTGAATTTCCAACCCTGTGACAATCTTTAGGTAGCTTTTTATTACTGACATCTAGCACACTTATGTTATCAGAAACATACAGTGTCATTTTATTCCTCTGAAATATATTGATCTTTGTTTCATGGACAGAAAAATAGAGTTGATATTTGTAAATGTGCCAAGTGTGCTTACAATTATATCTTGAGCAGTTTTTGCATAGATAGAAAGATGTTAGATAGATAATAAATATGGTTGAGGCGGTTTTCTATTTGAATCTTCTACATCTCAGGGGTATTTTGTTGCTTACGAGTTGTTGAGAGAGGGGTGTGACACCTCCCACTCTGCTTGTGTGTTGGGTCCTTCCTGAAGTTCTGTCATCATTTGCTCTCTATGTTTTGCAGCCCAGACTGACCATGGGAACCTTTGAGAATTCAGGAAGGAAGGAAAGGCCCAGAAGCCGGGACAGGGGAGCTGGGTTGGGGAGGATGAGAGGTGAGAAGGTCAGTGAAGTTTGCAGAGAGGATCTGTCCTTGGGACAGCACCTGGTGAGGACTGGGTGGTGGTGGTGGGGGTGACCTCAGAAAGAGGTGACATGGCAAGGGGGTGTCCACTGTGATGCACCAGGGGCAGGCAGGGGATTTGCCCACAGGGATTATAAAACATCTGGTTGCTAGAGCAGGGACCACACAGGAGTAAGGTTTGGAGAGTAGGGGAGCTCTGTGCCCCTCCAAATTATCCTGAGAGTCCCACTCTCTTGCCTGTCACAAACTGCTATTTAGCTAGTCTACTTACACCCTGACCTGTTGCTAAGCCCTCATCCCACCCCTGGAAGACTTAGTTTGACCCTGATACTTCCCCAGATCCCTTCCTTCTTTTCCTCCCACGTGACCAATACCACCTTTCCCTCCATACCCTCCCCTCCCCCTTCTCTTCCCCAATTGCATCCCATCCCCATTCCCAGCTCTGCTCCGATCATTCCCCCTCCCCAACCCCTGACCTACCCAGCCTCCTTCCTGGTGACCTCAGGGCACTCTGAGAGAACCTGAATATGGATGTGAAGAGGCTGTTCATCTTGATCCTCCTGCTCAGCTCTCCTTGTCACCCGTCCAGGAAGGTGAGTAAACACTGGAAACAGCGTGGTCTCTCTCTTTATATTGGGCTATGTCACACTGTGGTTTCCATAATAGCATTTCATGGGGGCTGTGATAGAAGCTCTGTCCTCCCAGCAGACCAAGGACCTCAGTGTGGCTGTCTTGAGCACTCTGGACACTCTGCTCACACCTGTGCACATCTAAGTGGGCTGGTCCAAACACAGGAAAGAGTGACAGTATGGAACATGGTTTTGCTAATTATCACCAATATTTTGTTATGAAAATGTTCAAACATACAGCATTGATTTGTTATCATTTTACTGAACATGATGAAATATATATCTATCCTTTCTTCTATCCCTCTATCCACCCATCATTGCATCTTGTTTTGCATGTATTTCCAGCTGAATCACAGACATCAATATACTTCCTGCTAAATAGCTTAGCATCCCAACAGAAGAAGTCAGTCAACTAGAAGTCAGTATTTCTTTATAGATTTCTCTTTTCAAAAAAAGGTTATATGCCATAAAATCTACAAATGTTAAGTATAAGTCACTAACCTGGGGAAGTACATATAACAGCATAATCCACACCCCTTTTAAGATCTACAATATTAATTATGTCACCCCAGAGAGTGACCTCTCCCCCTTCCCAGCCAGTCTGTGTTCTCATCATAGGGGAATTGTGCTTAGTTTAGAATTTCACATGTATAGACGGTGCCATGTCCACTCTTCTGTGTCTGCCTTATCCTGTTCAGCAGAGTGTTTCATCCACATTGTTGCTGGATCTGAAATTAATTTTTTTTTTTGTACCAGAAGCAGCAAACAGAAAGATCTGAAATTAATTTTTTCCATTCCTGACTTAGTATATAGTAAGTCAAACCTGTTGAATGATTATCTGTGTTTAATACACTATCTTGAAAGAAACATTTAGAATTAAAATGTTGAATTTTGAAGAACTTACAACTACATCCAGAGGAATGTCTAGGACGGTGATCAGAATCAGTCTGAACTGTCTCAGTGAAAGTCTTGGTCCACATTCACATTAAGAGTCTAATTGAATTAGCATCAAGACTCTCAGAGAAATCCCACACTATTAGTGTCACCTTGGTTATTTTTGAGTGCTAAAATTTGATATTTATTTCTGAATAAAGTTATCTCTTTATTGTATTTCTGACTTGTCTTTAAGTGCTAAAGATCCACCTAAGCTGAGAGAAAAGTGTGATTCCAAGGGATTCTTGCAAGAGCATTAGACAGAGGGGAGTTCTGAGCCCTGGTGAACTAGAAACTGCAGCCTCCTGCAAGACACCCAGTGACTGTGTGAGGTCATGCACTTGTCAGTTAGCTAGATTACCATTTCACAATGTATGTACACTTCAAAACATCATGTTATACAGGATAAATATAATGTATATGTCGATTTAAAAAATAAATGAATATGTCTGGGAAAAAAAGATAATCACTTTAGACCAAAAAAGAAAAAAAAAAAAAAAGCCTGCGTCACATTCACAATGTCTAACAACACTATCAGCCATGCAAAACACATGACGCTGGAAACTTCCAAACTTCCTTGAGGCAGTGGAATCCTCTGGAGATACCTGAGGGTGTAGTTTCCTCTTGGAGGATGAGTTTGGGTGTCTCAGGATGATTCTTTGTGACTGATGTATTGTAAATGTCATCAAGGCGTCTCACTATTCTAAATATTATTATTGCAGCTAGCCCATAGTCTGCCTCATCATGTTCAACTTGGGCCTCAGTTTTTAGGAATTCTTCAGAAGACTATTGTTATTGTTGCATACCTGGGAATTGTTATACTGGTCTGCTACATCTGCTGTATTATTTTTCCTGTAAGTATACTAACATATAACCATGTAAGTATACTTATAAATGAACAGAAATTTTACAGTCACTGGAGCTTTTATTTGTACTCACTGGTATAAATTTCCTTCTTAGTACTATCCTCACTACATCCCACAAATTTTAGTATTTCTTATTTTATTAGTATTTATATTGAAAGATTTAAAAATTTATGTTGAGAAAACTTTTTGATCCATGTATCCTTTCAAATTATGTTGTTTAATCTTCAAATATTTTGTAGTTTCCCAGCTATCTTTCTGTTATTGATTTCTAGATTAATTCTGTGGCCTGACAGCAAACCTTCTAGAATTACTGTTCCTTTAAAGTCATGAGGATGTGTTTTATACCCCTGAATGTAATCTGTCTTGAATAGTCAATGTAAACTCAAGAAGAATGTGCATTCTGCTGTTGTAGGATGAAGGATTTTATAGATGTCAGTAGATCCACTTGATTGATGGTGTTGTTTAGTTCAACTATATCCTTATTTATGTATTTATTTATTTATTTTATTATCCCAGGTAGAGTGCAGTGGCATCATCATAGCTCACTGCAACCTCAAACTCCTGGGGTCAAGCAATCCCCCCTCTCAGCCTTCTCAGTAGCTGGGACTACAGGCACACGCCAGCAAACCTGGCTAATTTTTCTATTTTTTAGTAGAGATGGGGTCTCACTCTTGCTCAGGCTTGAGCCTGATTATCCATAGCTTATACCTTTTGTAATTGTTGCAGTGGTCTTAGATTTTCTGAGCTGTATCTTTTTTTGGTTTTCATTTTACCTTTTGAAGTTTCTACTCACGTTTCCTCAAGCTCAGTGATTCTCTCCTTAGCTGTGTTGGGTCTGTTAATGAACCCATCAAAGGCATTCCTGGGCCAGGCGTGGTGGCTCACGCCTGTAATCCTAGCACTCTAGGAGGCCAAAGCAGGCAGATTGCTCGAGGTCAGGAGTTCAAAACCAGCCTGAGCAACAGCAAGACCCCATCTCTACTATAAATAGAAAGAAATTAATTGGCCAACTAATAAATATAGAAAAAATTAGCCGGGCATGGTGGCATATACCTGTAGTCCCAGCTACTTGGGAGGCTGAGGCAGCAGGATTGCTTGAGCCCAGGAGTTTGAGGTTGTTGTGAGCTAGGCTGACACCACGACACTCACTCTAGCCTGGGCAACAAAGCAAGACTCTGTCTCAAAAAAAAAAGGCATTCCTCATTTCTTTTAGATGTTTTCATTTGGAGCATTTCTGTTGGATTCTTAGAGTTTCTATCTCTCTGCCTGAGTTGGTGTCTGTTCTTGTACACTGTGTACTTTCTCCATTCGAACTTGACCATATGAATTCTAGTGGCTTTAAATTTTCAGTCTGATAATTCCATCATCTTTGCCATGTTGGCGTGTCACCCTAACGCTTGCTTTCTCTAATCAAACTGTGCTTTTCCTTTTGTCCTTTTGAATGTCTTATAAAATGTCTACGCATCATGTTCCAAGTAAAAGAAACTGAAGAATGGAAGTATTTACTGTGAGGTTTAGCTGACCAGAGGTTAGGCTATGATTACTTTTTACTGGAGCTGCAAGTGGCAGAGGCTAAAATTTCTTCTGTCCTTATTTTTGTCTCCCTGGTACCATAGAGATATCCTGAGTATCTCTTACTAACATGCGGGACTTTCAGCTGTGTCCTCCGGTTACTACACAGAAGCCCTGGAGTTATGGTGGCCAGGTGTGGAGGATGCAGATGAGTTCTATAGGCCCATGATTAGGTGAAAAAAGTATATAAACTCATGAACATGCAAACATGGGAGCCTTAGGAAATATGAGAGTCAATGAAGGGTCAGATGGTTGAAACTTAAATAGCAACATCTTCATAGGGGAGAGGGAGATGGAGATGTAGGAATTTAGAGGGGCAGCAAATGCTTTTTTAAGGAAATGAATGAGAACAAACAATTGGCTTGGGATAAAGATCCTCTGAGCTCTGGAGGAGGGGATGGCAAGTGGCAGGAAGGTGAGGGGCAGAATTTCACTGTGAACTAAGGCTGTCTTGTTATGCAGGTAAAGTCTCCCAGGTAAAGTCAGAAGAAGCTGACTGGAGCTCCTGTCAGAAGAATAAATGACAAATATATCTGTGTATGGTGACAATTTTTAGTTTTTTCTCTTTTCTGTTGGTTAATCTTTCCTGGTTATTTGATATTTCTGTGGAAGGAGTTTTAAAACAATTACATTTCTTCTGGAGGAATTTCCTCTTATCAGATAAGGAAACTGCAAGGACAGCCCCTATCAGCGATTCCAGAATGATAGATGATCAGAGATTCCAAGGGGCAGGAGAAAATCAGAGACCTTGGTTCTGAGGTTTGCCTCAGAGGCCTAACAGTTTCCTTTGATTCAAAGCATTCAGCATGAAATGTGCCATATTTTGGGATATTGTTTTGTGAGACTCACCACTATGAGTTTATTATGTTGAACTAAATGATTATTATAGTTTCATTGGAGTACCATTTTGACTATTAGAAACTATTAATATAAATATTTCTTATTCTGTTTTGATATCAAATTTAATTTTGTTTCTTGTTCTCCTAGATACATGATCCACAACATGAAGGTAAGATTTTAGGCTTCTATTTTCTTTGCAATAGTTTCTTAACACTGGCATTTCATGTGGGTTCTAGTTCAACTAGGAGTAAATACAGTGACTTCTTACTTCTTGAAAATCGTGCTCTTTCTGTGGTGAAGTCTGAATGACAACGTGGAAGGAGAAACCATTGATTGAGGTGAGAGAGAAGGTGGAGGACGAGATCAGAGGAGTGTGGAGAACGGGATGAGTTTAGCTTTGTGCAGAATGTGTAGGAGGCAGTGATGACATGAGTCTGCAGTGTGGAGGGAGGAGTACTGTGGCATGACCTGGATCTTGGGGAAATGGGAAAATGATCAGGACACTCACTGAGCCTACCCAGATGTTGCCAGGAAAATATGTGTTATACAAGACGTTGAAAGTTTGTGTAGAGGGTTAAGTGAAGAGAGCCATTAATGCCAGTGGAGAATGAGTGGAATGAATTTGATGTAAAATGTAGGTAATGAATTCTGTACATTCTTCCTAGACTGTGAAGATCAAGTGGTGCTATATGTTTGGGGAGCCAGGGTGGCTTCCTGGCACATAGTAGGCCCTCAAATGGGGGGACTATTACAGTGAATGCAGAATTGGTGGAGCTGAGAAGAGGTGAGGGCTGTCGAGCTCTTAAAATGGTCAAATAGAAGATAAGGTGGCACTTAGATGGCAAATGAGTGTGGATTAAATGCCTGTCTGATGCGTCTAGAACCGTGCGCTGCATTCTAGGTGCTCTACACGTGTTCCCACCTGTGAGCTGGGTGCTTGATGCACGTTGTTCACCTTTACAGGAGGTGGTAACATCCTCATCTTGGGGATGAAAAGGCTTGGTTTTCAGGAAGTTTGAAGTATGCAGATCCTCTGGAGACTACGTTGCCAAGGTAACATTGTGCCTGAGTGTGTTCAATTTCTCGCACCACGTTGCAGGACCCCACACTGGATGTCAGAAAGGAGAGTCTCTGGGCAGCAGGAGGACATTGGTGGCCTCCGAGTAGCCAATCCATTGACACTTTGAATGCTCCTTCTCCAGAATTGGAAGGAGTGGCTGGAAGTGGCTCAGACCTGGGAGAAAAATAGACTAATTTTTTAAAGGGACCTGTGTATTTGCCTTGATAATTGGAGGACAGGAGTGTTTATAGATGGGATGCTTATTTTTTCTGTTTTATCTCTGATGAGGATACAGTTATTTGAAATGATGGAATTTTCTAAGATGAACAGTGCCTATTGATGGGAGAGAGATTACACAAAGATGACGTGTTTCCTCAATGTTTCAAAACATTATGAATAGGAATTTCATTGAAATAAGCTTCTTATTTTCATATCTGTTTTCTTCCATTTGCAAGGAACTAACTGAAACTTGCTTTTTCAGACACAACATAACTAAAAATTATCTAATGTTCATATTGGCAGATAATATGTAATTGCTGCTAATACACTGGGAGTAATTCAATTTTATTGAGTTTTGCTAATCTTAGAGATTGTTTTTATCTCCTTTTAGCTAATTTACAGCAGATTTCTGAGGACATAGATAATTTCCTGAAGAAAAATGCAGAAGTTGTAGGAAAAATATCCATTTTTGAACAGAAGGTATTACTGCTCTTTCAAATTTCATTTTTTCACAGTTTAAATGACTGCCACCTCCCGGAGTTCAGTTATTTTGCTCCCTCATCTTTTACCAAGTATCCTAGTTCACATGTTCCATAAACTGTCCACGTTCAAAGTAAGCTTTCTATACATAATGTACCACTTTCTTTATGTCAGGAGTTACACACTTGAAGATAGGTTTTTTCCTAGTACTATAATTGATATTTTTTGAATTCTGAGTTTTATTCCATATTTATGTAGTTCAATAAAACAATGGAATGTCTTCAAGACCTGGAGAGAGAACATAAGATGCTTTTGGATGCTTCACTTAAATTTAAGGTAAAATCCCTTGTTTTTGCCTGGATTGTATTCTAAAACAACAAAAGAAAAGTAATGAATAATTGTCAATGGTTCAATTGTTTTTTGAAGCGTCACAATGAAACATTTGAGGAAACTAATAAAATTGCGGATGACATCATGCAAATATGTGCCAGGGTTAAATTGGAGAGACATCAGAACGCCAAGAATGCCAACTTGGTAAGAACTTGGCTGCTAAGTTGGACCATAATTGGGCTTTTGAGTCTTTTTGTCCATTGGGTGAGTGGAGCTCTACCTTTCCTCCTGCTTTTGTCCATTGGGTGAGTGGAGCTCTACCTTTCCTCCACCCATAGTAAAAGTAAGGGTGTCTGGGGGCTGAAGCCTTTTCTGAACAATGATGTGGAATTGAAGCACAGATACCCAACAACTTTTTATATCGAAGGGAACTGGAACTATGTTTTATTTGTATAACCCGGGAAATTAGGACATCATGCAGCACTCCCCAACTGAGAAATACATGAGAGATGAAGGAGGGTGTCTAGCCCAGGTGAACAGTTCCTTTCTTCTTAGTGCTGAAGGAAGGGTTTTCAATGGGAATTCAAAGAAGTTTTTTTTTAATGTTCCATTTTTGAAATATTCCAAGAAAAGCCATCCCATTCAGAAAAGTTCAGTCGAGCTATTTGATTTGAACAACTTTCCACCTTTTTCACTTTCCCCTTATCATCCCAGTCACCCATTCTGTCATCTTGCAGCATGAAGGTTGTGGGTACCATGAAATAGTCATGACTTACAGTGTTTCTTGGCTCCTCATTTCCTTATGCACTTGACATTTCTCCTAGCTCCAAACTACATCAGCCAATTTCCCATGAAATATAGCAGTACCTATAGGATACACGTGGTTGCCATTTCATCTTTTATCAGATCACCCAGTGTTTCTGCTGAAGTCCTAGTGCATGTTCTGCTTCTATGCTATGTGCAGACACTGCAAAAAAAAAAAAATTATGCAGAGAAGTTGAATGGTGTTACTTCAGTTACCACATCAGAAATTTCCGATGTAAATGATTTATATTTGCTACAGGATTTTCATTGTATATCTTTTTTCTTTTTTGAGACAGAGTCTCACTTTGTTGCCCAGGCTAGAGTGAGTGCCGTGGCATCAGCTGGCTCACAGCAACCTCAAACTCCTGGGCTCAAGCGATCCTCCTGCCTCAGCCTCCCGAGTAGCTGGGACGACAGGCATGTGCCACCATGCCTGGCTAATTTTTTCTCTAAATATTAGTTGGGCAATTAATTTCTTTCTATTTATAGTAGAGAAGGGGGTCTCGCTCTTGCTCAGGCTGGTTTCGAACTCCTGAGCTCAAACGATCCGCCCGCCTCAGCCTCCCAGAGAGCTAGGATTACAGGCGTGAGCCACCGCGCCCGGCCTGTATATCTTAGCTTTGATGAGGAACAAATTTTTCAGGTCTTAGACGATTAGAATCATATATCCAAATGGAACTTTCATCTTTGGGAGTTAAGTCACTAGTGAGAGTGTTTTGCGTTATGTTCAAATCACCCTTAATGAGGCTGGTGTCTGGGAAGGGAGAGTGAAATCTGGAGGCAGGTATACCAGGAAAATTCGCAGCCGGATGGCAAAGAGGAGCAGGTGCATCTGCAGATTACATAACTCAGATTACTGAACATAATTACATCCTTTTTGAATTAGAAAAACTTTCTCACTGTGCTAAAATATTAATCACATGGTGATCACCACCTTAACTACATTCAAGTGTACAGTTCGGTTGTGTTAAGTGTATTCACGTTGTTGCACAATTATTACTTCTTAAATGACTTTTCTCAAATCTGTCTTAAAGTCAGGAGATATAACGGACTATGTAAAGGAGTTAAACCTGAGAGCCTGGAGATCCAGTAAATGTTGCCTGGAAGGTATGCTACTTGTGGGGAGGAAGTCCCCAGAGAGTGGAAACGAGTTTTCCCTGGAAGGTGAAGAAGGGCTTCCTGCCTGCAGGATTCTCACGTTCTTTCCCTGTGCTAACCGACTTTTCGGGTGCTCCTGTACACAAAGAAACTTGTTTTCTCCTTCTCAGGAATTAAAAATAAAGTGGAAAAGAACTGTGAAGAACTGCAATGTAGCAAAGCAGAGAAGGAGGCTAAAACCAAAATGCTGCAGATGGAAGTGGACAACCGTTGCAAATTGTTTCAACAAAGAGCAGCTACAGTAGCAGAGTAAGATGTTCCTGTGCTCGTGGACGCCAATATTGTTTGTGGTGTGAAAAATGTGTGGATCTATGTAGACAATTGTAGTTTTCTTTAGAATAGTTTATGTAGTATTTGTGGCTAATTCATTAGGTAGAGAACTGTGCTTGTCAGCCCTGCCTTGATTTTTGTAATCTACATTTCTTTCTTTCCCTTACTCTTCTTTGTTATTTACTTGGGACTAGAGGGAATAGTGAGACCAACATTGTTTAACTTGAATATCTGGAGCCATTTATATAATATTTTAGGTTTCCATCATATACCATTGTATTCTGCTGTGATATGTATAACCATTTTTTATTAAATGTAAGACACTGGTTAAAAAATATTTAGACAATAATTGAGACCTAGTACAATGTTACCCTGCTGCAGAGACGATGGGGGTTTACCTCTAGCAGGTTGTCAGGGTTGCTGGAAGCATTAGGTCCCCTTACCCAGCCGGCAATGAGGTCACTCACTGCTGACTCAGTCCTGGCAGAGGCTCATTTGTTTCCTGCCCACCTTCATTTCCAGTGCACAGCTCTTCTGCATCCCAACCAAAGCCAGTGGACTTCAGCGGGGGTCCATGTTTTATCAGATCCTGAACTCCGCTGTTTCCTTCTATACCTGTGCATGTGTGTGGAAGGTGCTCAGGTTCTTTGCATCTCAGTAGTCTCTTCTGGGAGTCATTATGAAACTAGTGGAAATTAGCCCCAAATGTCAGGCTGACCTTAGGCCTCCTTCTCCCTCTGTGCCTTCTGTTTCTTTACAGCCATGTATAATGATTTCATGCATTTCATCAAATCTGATGCATGGAGCCCTGTTTCCTACTGTTCTCAGGGGAGGTCAGGAGCCGCAGATCCACTCATCCATATTCCACAGCACAACCCTTCCCCAGCTTCTCTCAACACTCAGGTCCTTTGTTACTCCTTCTCACGTGCATGGCAGGGGCAGCCATGTCCTCATTGCTGCTCCTTTGCATAAAGCTGTGAGCTCCTTTAGGGTGGGGACAGTGCCCTGCTCCCCTTTGTGTCCACAGCACCTGGCACTGCATCCACCGCATTCCAGCCACTCGGAAAGCATTTGCTGAGGCATTTCCTGGGTGGCCAAAAACAAATGCATGAACTTTCTCTCCTAATGCTTTTGGCCCTGTTCCCTAGAGTTCTTTCCATTTTATGAATCCTCTTTATTAAATTTACTATCAAATGACATCCTTTGAATCAGAATCATGAATGACGCAGTCTGAGAGCAACACAGCAGGTCTAGCTTTGAGGTCCTTGCCCTTTTCTGCCTCTACTTTATATGAACTCAACCTTGTGCTGATGAACACCAAGCTGGTTGGTTTTCCACTTGGCATCTGTTTGCAGGAGGTAACACCTGACTATGGAGACTTTCAGATTATCTTTGGTTCAGTGCATGTAGCCGGCACTAAGATTGGTCTTTTCCCTCAACCAGGACCCTAGAAGTAGGTGATAAGAGTTCCAATCCTGAATCAGAGAAATGTCCCATAGTGAACTGCAGGACTGATGACTCCATGTCCCACTGGGATCTCTCTGAGGCTGACTGGGTCCTGGCTCAGCCTCTGACTGAGAATCGGGTCTCCCCATGGGAGGGGTCAGACAAGTACCGATGCCCTGCTCCATCCTGACGTGTCTAGTTGTGATGAGTTGGTCAGGGCTGGCTCCACATGGCCATGAAATGAACTCTCACCATCTCAAGCAGGAGACTGACCCCAGAAGGGCACATTGTGGCATGTCACAGGTGCTTTTGATATTCCTTGATTTTTTACTAATGAATAAAAGTAGAGAGCTAAGACTAGGAGCTCAGAATTGGAGAGGACTTGCCAGAGGCCAGAGCTTGATTTCCCTTTGTCCCTCAGTGGGAGGCTTCAGTTTTCCCTCTGGCTGTGATTGTCAGTCTGTACATTTAGGGAAGGTGGCAGGGACCCTTTGAGTCCCAGCGTTCACATGCTGGGAGGGAAGAAAGGCAGAATTTCACATGGGCTACTGGATAACATGAGTTTCTCTGCCATTTCAGGAAGCTGAAAATGGAAAACATAAAGAGGGAACAGTATGAACGGAACCTGTCTCAGGTAGAGAAAGAACTGAAACAAACTACTGAAGAAATGGAGTCATACAAGTGAGTTCAGAGACTGAACACCAGCCTCTCAGCAAACTCCTTTTGGGTTTGTTTTTTTGTAGGCTATCTCCAATGTTTACACCCAATTAATACAGAAATATAAATAAATGATCAGAGCACATATACATAGATAGTGTTAAGGAAAACATAGTTTTCCTTAAGTTTTACAAGTAACCAAAAATGTTGTTACTAGACATTTCCTGATCCCCAGTGCTGGCCAGAAGGAGTGGAAACTTCATTGACACAAACATTTCTAGGGATGATGAAAATTGTTATAATCTTTAGAAAAGCTTTCAGCTGCAGGATGAACCACATCCATCAAAATGATTGTGCCACTTTATAAACCCAGCTGTCACTGCCCTGTGAAATATGGTAAGGACATTAGTATGAGGAGAATGAAGCTTTATGATTAAGGATGCTCAGTTAAGGATAAATTAGGGAAATACTGAGAATGGGGAAGGAAATTATGTCAATTCAGAACCCGGCAGGCACTAAATAATTGATAAGGAAACAATATAGCAACAGTTTTGATCCACCTGCACTTTTAGAATGATGGGCAAGGTATTTTACATGTATGGATAAATTGTGCAAAGGTACAAATGTGAGTATAATGGGAATATGGGCAGATTATTTAAAATCAAGCTCAATATTGTGCTTTACCTGAGGGAAGCGAATCTGACCCACAGGGAAGAAATTGAAAGCATGAAAGAGCAGCAGCAACTGGTGGAGCTCCACCGCAGACACCAGGTAACGTGCGCTCTGCCTGACAGCTGCCGAATCCTTTAGCACCTAACGTGGATGAGACACCCTAAACACACGGTTTCTATGTGTTGGCTTTTTCAGATTGCCACTAGTGAAATGGCAGCTCACCACTACTGGGTAAGATTGTTTCGTGTCCTTGGCTTTGTGCATAGTCTGCCAGGGCAGGATGCGGACGTGTTTCTCTCCCACAGCTCAAGACCCAGGTTCTGGCGAGGGAGAGGGTGGAGCAGGCCAGGGAGGCTGCCCGCTTGAGGCACAGGTGAGTGAGCCTGACGGACATTTTCAAGGATGTTCTGTTTTAAGAGGAAACTGTCAGTGTCTAAGCACTGAGTGTTCTAGTTCTTATCCACATGCATGCTTTCTCTATTTTCAAGACTGGAAATGATGCAGGAAGTGGAATATGGGGCAGAGAAACCTGCACCGAGGAAATCTGACACGCAGAGCCCTCTACACACAGGTGGGAGCTCGCGGCGGAGGTGGCAGCTCAGCTTGTGCTGCACGAGCCACACGCTCTGCTGCTCCTTCTGGGGCAACTGTTCTGTGCCCTGGAAACAGCCCCGAGTTGTTATTAAAGGGAATGGGAGTCTCTCAGGGTGGCAGGACACTTTTGGTCAGGTGCCTGAGGCAGGTGGCACTTGGGTGGGTCCCCTGCCACTGGTGGAGCTCTGGCCTGTCCAGTGACTTTGGACACCCCCACCCCCACTGAGCTTGTGGTTACTTCCGACTGAAGGCACAGCCTAGAAGTGAAGTGGGCCAGCTCTGCCTCCCTCCTCTAGTCCGTGTGGACAGCTTCATTTTCCTTTTATTTGAGAAAGATGACACCTGCAACATTTTAGAATGGGGGCTGTGTGCGCTGATGACACAGGACATATTTTTGCTATGTCTTTCTGGATAAACACTGTACCATGAGATCTGCTTTAAGTCAGAAGACATTTATTTACTATTTTTCGAGCTTCCTATGTTCTTTTTGTATTTTTTCCATTGTTTATTTTGAACTATAGAACTCTATTAGTAAATTAAATATTTATGTAGTTTCACTCCTCTAACCTTATAAGTTAAACCCCAAAAGTTTACAGTTAGTTTCTATAGCTCTTTCCTATTCTCATTACTATGATATTGGTCCATTTCTGGGCATAAATATGTTAACACTGGGTCAGATATGAGAGACAGATTACAAAAAGACGAAAAGATTTAAAACATGCCTCATGGCATGAGGAATAGAACCTAGTGCTATTCATGTCAACAGTTTATTGATATTCTTCCATCCAAAGCTGTTCCTATTAATTTTTAATATGTGCTTGAGTTGTAAGTGATGTCCCGATATGCACTGTGAAGCTACCAGCTTAAGGTTGATTTCCAGCTAGTTTGACCCCTGAACTGTCTCCAATTGGTTGAAGCAAGAAAATACCTGGATCCAGGTTCTGTGGTATCTTCCTCAGGCATGAGGGTCAGGGGGCTCAGGGGCACTGAGGCATCAGGTAAACCCAGGTGTGGGACAGTGAGATGGCAGATGGGGGCGTGGAGGGCTCTCTCTCTCTGCACAGAACACGCAAGTCAGATTGACGCCTTGCCTATTCTCTCACCTTTAGCAGATTCAGGACCTCAGTCTGTGGCCAGGGGGAGCAGCAGCAGGATCCCTTCCACAAATGCACAGAAGGAAAAGGTAAGTGCTGTGGTTATTTGTGACTCTTTCAGGAAACTGATGTTTTTTACCTACAGTACCTTCTCCTGGCCTCAGCTCTGCTTTGTGTCTCTGACATTCTTTCTGTGCCTTTCTTTATCAATAATCAAAATCTTCCCCAGGAGCATACAGTCTTCTCCATTCTTCTCAGTCTTTGCTAACACTTCTAGAAGGTTTAAATATGTACAGCAAAGGACAGAATGCTGGAAAGGTTTCATTGCTGTGTTTCTGGAACTTGATATGAGGAGAATGCTACTAACTCCATGCTAAAGGCTCATGGCACAATGCACCTCCGACTGATCCCCTTGCTTGAGAGGTTGCTGAGCCCATGACATGTCATTTTTTTTTCTTTTTTTCTAGACAGAGTCTTGCTCTGTCACCTGGGCTAGAGTGCCATGACATCAGCCTAGCTCACAGCAATCTCAAATTCCTGGCCTCAAGCAATCCTCCTGCCTCGGCCCTCGGGGGTGCTAAGATTACAGGCATGAGCCACCCTGTCTGGCCTCACGGCACTTTTATTGTTGCTCTTATTTTATTCCTTGTGTGCTTTGGGTTAGGGGATTAACTTGCTTAGAACATCTGCTGTAATCTCAGAATAGAAAAATGTGAACACTCATCCTTCCAACTTTACATTGTGGGCAATTTTGAGTGTTTTTGCATGTAGTAAATTCTGTGACACATCACTGTCCCATGTCACTGGCAACTGTGCCATGCAGAAGGCCTCCAGTGGTGCTCTTGATAAGATATTCTGAATTCTCAGAGGGCATCTATTTGTAATAGGAAATATACACTGGAGGTGACAAAGTGAAGAGTAAAAGTTACTACCTACAGGACCAATTCCAAACAAAGGCCTTGAATTTACAGTCACATAAGTTGGTTCTCCTGTGGTCTGTGTAGCTGTGACAACGGTGCCTCCTCTGATCATCTTCCTGGGACTTGTACACCTGAAATCAAAACACATTGTTTCAACTTCATTATTTAGATTCCTATCTCATTTTTTCTATACACAAATTATTCATGTCATATTGTGCTTAAAATTTGGTATTATCTGTGAATTAAGACAAATCTTATAGCCACATCTAAGTGCCTTATAAAGGTAACATTGTTTCTGTCTGCAAGCCCTGTGCGTTCCCTGAGGACTCAGGAATCCACATCTCCCAGAGATGTCCGTGCACAGGGGCGGCTCCTGCAGACAGGACAAGACCCTTTGTCCAGGAGGGAAGCAGAGGGGCGGGAGGGGTGCGCAGGGGGAGCTGGGATCGACTTCGGCTCTGCCTCCTGCAAGCTGTGTGGCCCTGGGGGATTCTCTCTTCCTCTGGGAGCGTCTGTTCCCTTAGAGTTAGGACAGGATGGTCACACTGACCTTGCAGAATTCTGAGAATCAAAGACAGGAAATTAACCACCTGTGAAAAGTTCTCCCAAGAGCAGCTGTGATCCATGCGTGGAGGTGGAGTTTTCATTCCTCTCCTTGTGTCTGTTCTGACTGTTGCAGAAAGGAGCTACTGTGTAGGTGGGAGGGAGGGGGTGGCCCTGACACGGACGCCCGTCTGTCTGGAACATGCTTCTTCCTCGGTGTGTCCTGTCTGCTCTTCCTTGGGGCAGGGCCCAGCGTCCTGCATTTGCAGACACAGGCAGTGCCGTGTGGTCACAGCGGTTTGTCCCCATGACTTCCCTTCACTCCCAGCAGTTGGCTGCACTTAGTGGGAGGAAGATTTTGGCACTGGCGTTGCTGACGAAGCCGGGTGGAGGGAAAGGTGTCAACGTCTGTCACCTGCCTCATGGAGCTCAGCTTTCATTGGTGTTTTTGTCCATCATGTGAGCAGGTTTCAAACTTTACCATTTTCTCTCTGCAGGTGGAGGTGGATGCAAGAGGGCCCCCTTGTGCTGACATGCCCAAGCCCATGGCTGGCCCTCTATCAGCACGGAGGGGCAATCGGCCACTTCCTCACCCCTGGTGCCTTTTGAAACTTAGCCCCCAGCTCAAGGGCCACCGTTCGGTATGGTGACTGACAGGGTGAACTTGGTATAGCGTGTTCACCTTTTCTCTCACTAAGGTGACAGAAAACCATGTTGCACGTGCTGCAGGGCTGGGCAGTACAAGGGTAAAGCTGGCTGAGGAAACAGTGCTTTCCTCAGGTTCCGGGGACACACACTGGGTGGCATCTTCTCCCTTTCATGAGCTGGGTAGCAGGTATCTCCTGTAGATGAGGAAGGAGGTGTTTACAGAAGCCAGAATTTCGGTTTTGCAGATAGGCAGGCAGCCGCGGCCACGTGCCTAGCTCTGTGAGGGGTGAGACCTGCCCCTGTCTATGAGGGCTTCATGTGTCCTGAAGGAAGGACACAGGCCACCCAGGGCACACAGCTTGTGGTCACCCACAGTGGCAGCAGCGGGGAAGGTCCCTGAGTGCAAAAGAGGCAGAGTGAATCTGTGGGGATAAATGGGTGTGGGGAGGAGGAGGAAATGGGGAGCAGCCTTGTGGGGTGCTGAGCTCACATATGGGGACCAGGATGGCCGTGCCCTGCTGGGGCGCAGCCTGAGCAGGAGCCTGGGGACCATATGAGGAGCTTAGTGGCACTGTGTGGCCTGGAGATTGAGCCCTCAGAAGGTCCTTGCTGCTCTTGGAGACCAGAATCTGTAGGAAAGATGATTGTTCCCTGCATGTGTGAAGGCTCTGGATCAGTGTTAAGAATGCCCTGGGGTCTGGGAGATGTAATGTGTTTCTGTCAGGTGACCTTTTCTGCTTGTCCCCAGCCCCCACTGGGAGCTACCCCTGATGCCGAGCTTTGCTCTCTGGAAATTTCCATGTAGCACTCTCAGCCTTCCCTGTGTCCTGCTGTCTCAGGCCCCGACACCCACTCTATGTGGGGCCTGCTCAGAGTCTCAGCTCTGTTATGTGTGAGCCGGGAACAGTGTTGCTGTCTGAGGACATTGTGAGGTCAAACAGACCAAGCACATAAAGGAAGAATCTGTCAAAATGGCTGGTACATGTTGGGCACTCAGCCCCTCACTGTTTGGATGAAAATATTTCCACTCAGAAGATCATCAAACGATGTTCATTGAAGTTCATAAAATAAATCTCAGTGTGTGGCAGCTCAGCCCAGAGATTTTCATTCCCTTTTTCAAAACATAAGGCAAAGTCCCCCTCTCTGCTATTAAAATTCAGATCCCACCAGATAAAGAAAGGGAAGATAATTATGTGACAGTACATACCGTTAAACCCAGTGGTCTATATTTGAAATCTGAAGATAATTATTTTTGATGACGTGCAGACACGCAGTTGCAGCCACACATGGAAGTATTTGTGAGGGGCACAGATATATTATAGGACATAAAATGTGTGTAGAAAAAAATAAGATGACATAGAAATAACCCAAAATCTGTTTGCCTTATAGGACAACCGTTATGAAATTTGAAGAGGATCCTGAGCCCAGATACCATTGCATGGGCTCTAGTATTGGAAATGGGGTCAGACTTCCATGTTGTTCTCATTTTGTTCCCTGTCGGATGCTCCCTTGTCCCCTCATATCCTTCCCGGGGTTTTCCCTCATAAACCTTTCCAGTTCCCTCTGTCTGGCTCAGTGTCTGCTTCCTGGAGGACCTGCTGACCCTGTGGGGTGCACATAGGTGGTTTCTGCACATGAAGTTTGGGCAGACTCTAAGGTGGTACAGGCCTAAGCAGGGTCACTTGTGAGGTGGCCTGGAGTGAGGGTGACCCAAGCGGTCTGCAGGGTTGGTGGGAACACCCTGTGTCAAGACATGGGTTGGGGTGGTGCTGGTTCATTCTAGAAATATTCACGGAGCATTTGCTGCCTGTCTCAGGTGCCTTGTGATCAGATGGACAGGTTCTGACTGCATGAGCTGGTGTCTTCTCACAATGGGGCAAAGATGGAAGACCAGCAGGGGCTGGGCTGGAGGCGCCAGTGAGGAACCTCCAATAATTCGGACTGTGTCAGGGGCTTTTGCCAACCGAGCCTGCTGCCCCCCAAAAGCACCAAGTCCAGCCAGGCTCCAAGGAAGCAGAGCTGGGAACAGAGATTTTTCCAGAAGTCCTGAGAGCTCCAGAATCCTTCTGTAATTTTGCTCTGTGGTATGGGACAGAGGTCAGTGGTGAGAGGATCCCTGAGTAGGGCTGGCGTGGAGTAGAGGACATGGGGCACTGAGTCGGAGAAAGGGACAGGCAGAGAGAGGCACAGACAGAGTAGGGGCAGGGGGGAGAAGGGAAGGGACTGAGGAGCCCAGGTGCAGGGGACAGGAAAGGCCGGAAGTCCTGGCATCAGGGGCTGGGAGGGGCCCTTTAGCTCCAAGGCTCTGACCTCCCAGGGGCCCAGCTGTGCAGGATCCCATGGCACTTGGACACCCGGGTCCCCTTTTGTAGCTGGGTGGCTGGCTGGAGCCTCTGGATCTGTCCTTGAAGGGGTGACTTTTGAGAGAAAGGGCTACGTACCCAGGGTTAGCGTTAGATTCCCCTCCAATTCTGAGCTCCTATTCATTGATCTCTACTTTTATTCATTAGTAAAAAGTCAAGGAATATCAAAGCACCTGACATGCACAATATGCCCTTCTTGAGACAGTGACAGTTCATCTCATTGCCATATGGAACCAGCCCTGACCAACTCATCACAACTAGACACATCAGGATGGAGCAGGGAGATGGGGAGACCCGATTCGCAGTCCAAGGTGAGCCAGGACCCAGACACTCAGCCTCAGAGAGATCCTTGCGGGACATGGAGTCATCAGTCCTGCAGTTCACTATGGGACATTTCTCTGATTCAGGATTGGAACTCTTATCACCTACTTCTAGGGTCCTGGTTGAGGGAAAAGACCAATCTTAGTGCCGGCCACATGCACTGAACCAAAGATGATCTGAAAGTCTCCATAGTCAGGTGTTACCTCCTACAAACAGATGACAAGTAGAAAAGGAGAAAACCATCTAGCTTGGTGTTCCCCAACACAAGGTTGAGTTTATATAAAATGGAGGTGGAAAAGGGCAATGACCTCAAAGCTAGACCTGCTGTGTTGCTCTCAGACTGCTTCATTCATGATTCTGATTCAAAGGATGTCACTTGATACTTGATTTAATATGGAGGATGGATAAAATGGAAAGAATTCCAGGGAACAGGGACAAAAACACTTAGGAGAGAAAGAAAGTTGATGCATTTGCTTTTGGCCACCCAGGAAATGCCTCAGCAAGTGCTTTCTGAGTGGCTGGAATGCAGTGGGTGCAGTGCCAGGTGCTGTGGACACAAAGGGGAGCAGGGTGCTGTCCCCACCCTAAAGGAGCTCACAGCTTTATGCAGAGGAGCAGCAGTGAGGACATGGCTGCCCTCTGCCGTGGATGTGGGAAGAAATAACAGAGGACCTGAGTGTTGAGGGAAGGTAAAGAAGGATTCTGCTGTGGAATAAGGATGAGTAAATCTGCGGCCCCTGACTTCCTCTGAGAACAGTAAGAAACACAGGGCAGGATGGGAAACGTGGCTAAATGCATCAAATTGGAAGTAATGGATCAAATTCTATGGCTGTAAAGACACATGAGGCAAAGAGGAAGCAGGAGGCCTAAGTCAGCCTGGTGTTTGGGGCCAATTTCCACTAGTTTCATCAATGACTCCCATAAGAAACCAATGAGATACAAGGAACCTGAGCACCTTCCAAACACATGCACAGGTATAGAAGGAAACTGAGCAGAGTTCAGGATCTGATAAAACAAAGACCCCCACTGTAGTCTACTGGCTTTGGGTGGAATCCAGAAGAGCTGTGCACTAGGAGTGAAGGTGAATGGGAAACATAGCGGCCTTTGTTGAACTGAGTCAGTGGTGAGTGATCTCATTGCCAACTGGGTTAAATACACCTAGTGCTGCCAGCGACCCTGACAACCTGCTGGAAGGTTGCCCTCCACCTCCATGGTCTCTGCAGCAGGAGAACATCATACTAGGTCTTAATTTTTGTCTAAATATTTTTACCCAGTTTCTTACATTTAAAAAAAATGACTACATATATTAGAGGAGAACACAATAGGATGGGATAGAAACCTAAACGATTATATAGATGAATCCAGATTGAAGTTAAACTACGTTAGTGTCACTACCTGGTCCAGCCCCAAGTAAATTACAAAGAAGAGTGCATGAAGGGAGAGAAGCAATATAGGTTACAGAAATCAAGGCAGGGTTGACAAGCACAATTCTCTACTGAATGAATTAGCCACAAATACTGCAAAAAGTATTCTAAAAAAACCCTCAATTGTCTACATAGACCCCCCCACACATCGTTCACACCACAAACAGTATTGGTATCAATGAGCTCATGAACATCTTACTCTGCTACTGCAGCCAGTTGTTCTTCATACATTGTATGATGCTGGTCTACTTTTGTCTTTGTCATTCTGAGTTTAGCCTCCTTTTCTGCTTTCCTATATCCCAATTCTCCACAGTTGTCCAGGTTTTGTTTAATTCCTGGAAAGGACAAAACAATTTTTTCTGTGTGTGTGCAGGTGAAAGCTTGGTTGGGGTCAGGAAAGGAGGCAAGAAGCCCTTCTTCACCTTCCAGCAAAAACTCGTTTTCATTCTCAGGGAATTCTCCATGCTAGCAGCATACCTTCCAGGTGACAATTATTGCACCTCAAGCCTCTCAGATTTGATGCCTCCAAACTGTCTTTTATGTATTCTGACTTTAAGACAGATTTGAGAAAAGTCATTTAATAAGTAATGATTGTGCAACAACGTGAATACACCTAACACTACTGAACTGCACAGTAGAACATGGTTAAGACAGTTATCGTGATGTGATGAATAATTTTGCACATTTAAAATTTTTTCTAAATTAGAAAAGGAAGTAATTACATTCAAGTCTCTGAGATATGTAATCTTGGGAGTAACTTTTGTCTCCTCTCCTCCTTGACATCGAGCTGTGCATTTTCCTGGTGTACCTGTGTCCTTCACACATTTCACTTTTGATTCCCTGACACCAGCTTCATTAAGAGTGATTTGGACATAATGCTAATTAATGACTTAACTCCCAAGAATGAAAATTCCATGGAGATATCATATGATTGTGATCTTTTGAGACCTGAAATATCTGTTCTTTATCAAAGAACAGGGAAAGGTAAAAGTCCTGTAGCAAACATTGGTCATTTATCTCAGAATTTTCTGACGTATTCACTGAAGTAACATCACTGAACTTCTTGCAAAATGGTCAGTTCCTTCATAAAATTATCGATCATCTCAGAAATGTGCTGTTCATTAACTAACCATCTCTCTAAGTTTCAACCATCTGACCCTTCTTTGAGTCTCATATTTTGTATGGCTCCCATGTTTTTCATGTTAATAAGTTTATACACTTTTTTCTCCTGTGAAGCTGTCTATTGTTAGTTCATTTCAACAGCGGATCTTTAGAAAGCAGAGGAGAAGCTTCCCTCCCACCCCACAACAGGATTAAAAATAAAAAGTGAGACAGAATTTCCTACTTAAGTGATGGTACTTTATAAACTAATTCTGATAAAGAGCACAAAGATAAATAACTCATTTTTGCCCCCAAAATACATTTATATTCTAGTAAATGAACATCAGGCTATATCATTTTTATGATGGAAATGGAAAACATTTTATAATTTTTATGCTTATGATTCATTTACCCAATGTTTCGTGTCTGGAACACAGTATCGCTAAATATGTCTGGATCTAGGGATTCTCTTACAAGAAAAGGCAAATTCTTTGCACTAAGAGTTATCTCTTGTCCTCACGAGAAAACACCTTAGAAACTTTAGACAGCTGGAGGACAGGACAGACAGACAGGCGGACACAGTCACCACAGGCCAAAGCAGAAGCCCAGGTCAGAATGCCCAGGAGAGCCGGTACCCCGGGGCTGGAAAACCTGTGAGGAAACGGATGAATTCCTGGACTCCCAGGGAGGACAGCCGTGACATTCAACAGTGCCAGCGGTGCCCAGTCACACTGGTGTGAGTTTTACCTGCGAGAGTCCCAACAGGTTCTCACAGTCAATATCGAGGGAAAAACATCCCCTCAGGCTTTTCGCGGAGGGATCTGGTGATCGGCCATTTTGAACTAACTGCCGAGTGTCCATCCGCCTTAAAAAGACCCGCCCTCAAGAGAAATTAGTTCACCAGAACCCAACTGGGGCTTGTTTTGTTTTGTTTTGTTTTGTTTTGTTTTGTTTTGTTTCGAGATAGAGTCTCACTCTGTTGCCCCAGCTAGAGTGCCGTGGCATCAGCCTAGCTCACAGCAACCTCAAACTCCTGGGCTCAAGCAATCTTCATGTCTCAGCCTCCTGAGTAGCTGGGACTACAGGCATGCGCCACCATGCCCGGCTAATTTTTTCTATATATATTAGTTGGCCAATTAATTTGTTTCTATTTTTAGTAAAGACGGTGTCTCGCTCTTACTCAGGCTGGATTCGAACTCCTGACCTCTAGCAATCCACCCACCTTGGCCTCCCAGAGTGCTAGGATTACAGGTGTGAGCCACCCCAACTGGGTTTTGCCAGACACTAAGTCACCTGAGTGAAGAGAACTGTCCAACTCCAGCTCCGTCTCTTCTTCTTTTCCTATTTAAGAGGGAAACACACTGAGCAGCACTGGTGAAGTGACAGTCCGGGTGCACAGGCTCCCTGAGGACTGAGACGTAATCACGGGACTATCGAACTCTTCCTCATCCTCCACAGCTGGCCACCCTGATGCTAGGGCTTATGTGTAGTACCGGGAGGACACAACTGAAGTATCATGTGTTAGACATTATGTAATAAGAGATATTCAGGGTAGCTTTAAGATAACAGGGAGATGTATGATTTACAAAGAAAGGACAGTAACTCCTTCACCTCCTAGTCATGTCACTGCTGGTGACTTCCCCAATTTCAACATCCCAGCAGGGTACAGTCATGGATTTTCACATTTGTTGGGCTTCTCAGGGCCCCCATCAAACTGGTTGGACACGGAGCCCCTACTGCCAACTTTCAAGAGCACAAGGACAAAATGACTCAGAAGTTCCTAAAACAACAAACCAGAGAACACAAAGCACAGGTGACAATTCACTTTCAACACACTAGTACTAACGCCAGTGATTCGGTACCACTGTACCCAGGGCTGCCAAGCTTCCAAATACGAATGACGGACTTGCAGGGAAACAACTGCACATGGGACAGCACAAAACCTGCAGGAGTTGAGGAGGATCTCACACAGGGCTTCCAGGAGCCAGTCAAATGCCCATGAAGCCTATTAAAAAAGAGTTCCTTATGTTTTCTAAAACATCTTTAATGAGGTGTAGTCATATACCATGCAATTCCCACCAGTAAATGCTGCAATTCAATGACTTTTAGCATATTCCCCAATCCTTTCTGTATGACAGTGCACAGTTACTATGTTCACGTTCCACGCTGTCACCCTTTCCTGTGTTTGGACCAGCCCCCCTTGATGTGCACAGGTGTGGGCAGAGCGGCCAGGCTGCTCAAGGCACCCTCACTGAGGTCCTTGGTCTGCAGGAAGGACAGAGCTCCCATCATAGTCCCCGTGAAGTGCTGTTATGTAAACCACAGTGTGACACAGCCCAACATAAAGGGAGAGACCACACGTGTCCAGTATTCACTCAGCTTCACCGACCAGTGACAAGTAGCACTAATCAGAAAGAGCTAGAAGAATAGCCTCTTAACCTCCATGTCGGGGTCCTCTCAGGACACCCTGAGGTCTCCAGGAAGGAGGGGTGGGTTAGGGGGTGGGAGGGGGACTGAGAGGGGCTGGGGCTGGGAATTAGGGAGGGGTCAAAATTGGAGAGGGGGAGGGGAAGGTGTGGAAGAAAGCTGGGAGGAGGAGGACAAGGGGTGGTGTGGGGAGGTTTCCAGGTCAAACTAAGTCCTGGAGGTGTGGGAGGAGGTCAGGGTGAGAGCCGGTCAGCTGACCAGCAGTCCTTGTGTGGCAGGTGAGTGGGACTCTCAGGATAATTAGAAGGCACATGAGCTCTGTTTCCCCCTAAACCTTACTCCTGTGTAGTCCCTGCTCTAGCAACCTGATGCTTTATACTCCATGGGGGCCAATCACCTGCCTGCCCTTGGTCCATCACAGTGGACATCCCTGTGCTACCGCACCCCATCCTAAGTGTTTTTTCTCTGACACAGTCTCCCTGGCCCTCTGTGCCACTCCAACCCTGCTCAGGGGTCCTCTCACCACTGACCTCTGTCCATCCCACAATGAAGAAATTACAGAAGGATTCTGGGACTCTCAGGACTTCTAGAGAAATCTCTGCTCCCAGCTCTGCATCCCTGGAGCCCACCTTGACTTGGTGCTACTGGGGGGCAGCTGGCTGTGTGGGGGAAGGGCCCTGATGCAGCCTCAAGTTGGGGGGTTCCTCACTGGCTCCCAAGGCCCCTGCTGGGCTGTCCTCTCTGCCACATCATGAGAAGTCACCACCTCATGGGGTCAGAATGGCCCATCTGATCACCCTGTGACTAGCAGGCAGCAAATGCTCCCTGAATATTTCTAGAATGAACCAGCACCATCACCACCCAAGTCTTGACACAGGGTGCTCCCACCACCCCTGCAGAACCCTTGTGTCACTCCCAGTACCGACAACCCCACAGGTGACCCTGCTTCTGCCTGCACCACCTTAGTGTCTGCCCGAACTGCATGTGCAGGAATCGCCGTGTGCACCCTGGGGGTCAGCGGGTCCTCCAGGCAGCAGACACTGAGCCAGACAGAGGGAACTGGAAGGTTTATTAGGTAGAAACACCGGGATGGGTGTGAGGGGACAAGGGAGCATCTGGCAGTGAACAAAGTGGGAGCACACGAAGGTCTGACCCCATTTCCAATATGCCTGACAGTATCTGGGTCCTCTTCAAATTTCAAAATGGTTGTCCTGTAAGGTGAACAGATTTTGGTTTATTTCCATGTCATCTTATTTGTTCTGCCATACATTTTATGTCCTATAAAATATCTGTGCCCCTAACGAATACTTCTGTGTCCAGCTTTAGCTGCATGTCTACATGTCATCAAAAACAATTGCCTTCAGATCTCAGGTATACAGCACTGAGTTTAACTGTGTTCACATTCCCAAACTTACCTTTCCTTTCTTTATCTGGTGGGATCTGAACTTTATTAGCAGAGAGGGGGACTTTGCCTTATGTTTTGAAAAAGGGAATGGAAATCTCTGGGCTGAGCTGCCACACACTGAGATTTATTTTATGAACTTCAATGAGCATTGTTTGATGATCTTCTGAGTGGAAATATTTTCATCTAAACACTGAGGGGCTGAGTGCCATTTTGCCAGATTCTTCCTTTATGTGCTTGGTCTGTTTGGCCTCACAATGTCCTCAGACACCAACACTGTCCCCGGCTCACACAAGACAGAGCTGAGACTCTGAGCAGACCCCACATAGAGTGGGTGTTGGGGCCTGAGACAGCAGAGCACAGGGAAGGCTGAGGGTGCTCCATGGAAACTTCCGGAGAGCAAAGCTGAGCATCAGGGCTGGCTCCCAGTGGGTGCTGGGTCTGAGCTGAGAGACAGCTCATGATGTAGAGAAGATGCCACCCTGTGTGTGTCCCCGGAACCTGAGGAACACACTGTGTCCTTAGCCAGCTTTACCCTTGTATTGCCCAGCCCTACAGCACCAGGTGCAACAGGGTTTTCTGTTGCCTCAGTGAGAGAAAAGGTGAACAGGCTGTACTCAGTTCACTCTGTCAGGTCACCATACCGAATGGTGGCCCTTGAGGTGGGTGCTGAGTCTCAGAAGGAACCAGGGGTGAGAAAATGGCCCATGGTCCCTGAGCGCTGATAGAGGGCCAGTCATGGGCTTGAACACGTCGGCTGGTCCTGGGACTCCAGGGGGCCCTCTTGCATCCACCTCCACCTGCAGAGAGAAAATGGTAAAGTTTGAAACCTGCTGACATGATGGACAAAATCATCAATAAAAGCTGAGCTCCATGAAGCAGGTGACAGACACTGACACCTTCCCCTCCACTGGGCTTCAAACTAGTAACATCAGTGCCAAAATCTTCCTCCCACTGGGTCACCCCGACTGCTGGGAGTGAAGGGAAGTCACGGGGACAAACTGCTGTGACCACACGGCACTGCCTGTGTCTGCAAATGCAGGACGCTGGGCCCCATCCCAGGGAAGAGCAGACAGGACACACCGAGGAAGAAGCATGTTCCAGACAGACGAGCGTCCATGTCAGGGCCACCCCCTGCCCCACCTGCACAAGCTCCTCCCTGCAACAGTCAGAACAGACACAAGGACAGGAACAAAAAGTCCACCTCCACGCATGGATCACAGCTGGTCCTGGGAGAACTTTCCACAGGTGGTTAATGTCCTGTCTCTGATTCTCAGAACCCTATGAGGTAAGTATGACAGTGCTGCTCTAAATTTATGGGAACAGAGGATTTTAGAAGAAGAGAGAATCCCCCAGGGTCACACAGCTTGCAGGAGGCAGAATTGAAGCCCATCCCAGCTCCCCCTGCGAGCCCCTCCTGCCCCTCTGCTTCCCTCCCGAACAAAGGGTCTTGTCCTGTCTGCAGGAGCCACCCCTGTGCACAGACATCTCTGGGAGATGCGGATTCCTGAGTCCTCAGGGAACGCCACAGGGCTTGCAGACAGAAACTATGTTACCTTCACAAGGTAGTTAGGTATGGCTTTAAGATTTATGAATATCTTAATTCACAGGTCATACCAAATTTTAAGTGCAGGTGACATAAAGAATTATTTTTGTCCATGGAAAATAAGGTGGGAATTCTAAGTAACAACTAAAACAGATGTGTTTTGATGTCAAGTGTAAAAGTCCTATGAGGTCCAGTCAGAGGACAGACCAGCCGTCACAGCTACACAGGCCACTGGAGAGTCAGTGTCTGCCACCGTAAGTCAAGGCCTTTGTTTGGAATTGGTCCTGCGTGTGATTAGTAACTTTTCCTCTTTGCTATCGCACCTCCTCTGTGCATTTTCTGTTCCAATATGTACCCTCTGACAATTCAGTGCATTTTATGAGGCACCATTGGAGGCCTCCTGAATGGCACAGTTACCAGCAGAGATGGGACAGTGATGAATTATGGAATTTCTTTCATTAAAGACCATTCAGCATTGAGCAAAGCACATGATAGAAAATGAGAGGGATGTGTTTTTACATCTTCCATCTCTGAAGATTATAGCAGATGATCTCAACTAATTAATCAAGTGATGTGAGGCAGAAAAGCAACATAAGAGCAGCAACAATAAGAACCACACGTCAGGACCCAGCAACATGGCAAGCAAATGGCATCAGTCAGGGGCCTGCTGTGCCATGAGACACAAAGTCGTAAAGTGGCACTTCGTATCAGTTCCAGAAACACGGGTGAAAACCAACCAGTCCTCAGCCTGTGAGCTTCTGGAAGGCTTCTGGAAGCATCCCTAAAATATCTTGAGTTGTGATTACAGAAGCCTGTAGGCTCTATGAGTCAGATTTTGATTTTTGACAAATAAAGGCACAGAAAAGATGTCACAGAACACACAAACCGGAGCTGAGGTCAGGAGTACATTTGCTGGGGAAAAATAGACAATCAAAAAACCCAATTTCTTAAAATAGTTACAGTGAAAATGACCACGGCATTTACCTCCCCATTGTCTGCATTTTCAGATGGGATCCACACACTGCTCCTCCTGGGCACAGATTGAGGTCGTGAATCTGTTAAAGGCCAGAAAAGAGACAAGGGCTCATTCTGACACCGATATTCTGTGCACAATGAGAACCCTCCACGCCCCCCTCTGCCATCTCACTGCCTGTCTCACATGTGGGTCCCTCACCACAGGCACAGGGTTTGCCAGATGCCCTGGTGGCCCTGAGCTTTCTGAGCCTCATGCTTGAGGAAGACACCACAGAGCTCAGGTCCAGGTGGTTTCCTTACATCAACCAGCTGGGGACAGGTCAGGGCTCCAACTAGCTGGAAATCAAAGTTAAACTAGTTGCTTCCCAATGCATACCAAGGAACGTTGCTTACAACTGAAGCACATGTTAAAAATTAAAAAAAGAACAGCATTGGGTGGGAAGAACATCAATAAACCCTACAAATGGATAGCACTGGGTCCTTTACTTCATGCCATGAGACGTTCTTTAAATCTCTTGATATTTAATCTATCTCCCATATCTGACCAGGTATTATAATAATTTGCAAAAGAAATGAACTAATATGATAGTAATAAGAAAAGGAAAACTCTAAAGAAAACTAATACAATGGTAATAAGAAAAGGAAAACACTAAAGAACTGTTGGTGGGGTACAGTGGCTCACGCCTGTAATCCTAGCACTCTGGGAGGCCGAGGCAGGAGGATCACTCAAGGTCAGAAGTTCAAAACCAGCCTGAGCAAGAGTGAGACCCTGTCTCTACTAAAAATAGAAAAAAATTAATTGGCCAATTAAAATATATAGAAAAAGTAGCTGAGCATGTAGTCCCAGCTACTTGGGAGGCTAACGCAGGATTGCGTGAGCCCAGGAGTTTGGGGTTGCTGTGAGCTAGGCTGATGCCACAGTACTTTAGCCTGGGCAACAAAGTGAGACTGTCTCAAAAAAAAAAAAAAAAAAAAAAAAAAAGAAAGAAGAAGAAGAAGAAAACTGTAAAGTTTTAGGTTTACACTGATAATGTCAGAGGAATAAAATTACATAGATATTGAATTTACTAATAGAGTTCTTTAGCTCACAATAAACAATTAAAACAAACAGAAACAGGAAGCTCAAAATATATTCCAGTCTTAGAGCAGATCTCATAGTAAAACATTGATCCAGAAAGACACAGCAAGAAAACTTCCTGTGTCATCAGCACCTACAGCTCTCATTCAAAATGTTGCAGGTGTCATCTTTCTCAAATAAAAGGAAAATGAAGCTGTCCACATGGACTAGAGAAGGGAGGCAGAGCTGGCCCACTTCCCTTCTAGGCTGTGTCTTCAGTCGGGAGTAACCACGAGCTCAGTGTGGGTGGGGGTGTCCAAAGTCACTGGACAGGCCAGAGCTCCACCAGTCACAGGGGACCCACCCAAGTGCCACCTGCCTGGGGCACCTGACCAAAAGTGTCCCGCCACCCTGAGAGACTTCCATTCCCTTTAGTAACAACTCGGGGCTGTTTCCAGGGCACAGAACAGTTGCCCCGGAAGGAGCAGCAGAGCGTGTGGCTCCTGCAGCACAAGCTGAGCTGCCGCCTCCGCCGCGAGCCCCCACCTGTGCGTGGAGGGCTCTGCGTTTCAGATTTCCTCGGTGCAGGTTTCTCCGCCCCATATTCCACTTCCTGCATCATTTCCAGTCTTGAAAATAGAGAAAGCATGCATGTGGATAAGAACTAGAACACTCAGTGCTTAGACACTGACAGTTTCCTCTTAAAACAGAACATCCTTGAAAATGTCCGTCAGGCTCACTCACCTGTGCCTCAAGCGGGCAGCCTCCCTGGCCTGCTCCACCCTCTCCCTCGCCAGAACCTGGGTCTTGAGCTGTGGGAGAGAAACACGTCCGCATCCTGCCCTGGCAGACTATGCACAAAGCCAAGGACACGAAACAATCTTACCCAGTAGTGGTGAGCTGCCATTTCGCTAGTGGCAATCTGAAAAAGCCAACACATAGAAACCGTGTGTTTAGGGTGTCTCATCCACGTTAGGTGCTAAAGGATTCGGCAGCTGTCAGGCAGAGCGCATGTTACCTGGTGTCTGCGGTGGAGCTCCACCAGTTGCTGCTGCTCTTTCATGCTTTCAATTTCTTCCCTGTGGGTCAGATTCGCTTCCCTCAGGTAAAGCACAATATTGAGCTTGATTTTAAATAATCTGCCATGTTCCCGTTATCCACACATCTGTGCCCTTACGCAATTTATCCATACATGTAAAATACCTTTCCCATGATTCTAAAAGTACAGGTGGGATAAGACTGTTGCTATATTGTTTCCTTATCAATTATTTAATGCCTGCTGGGTTCTGACTTGATATAATTTCTTTCCCCATTCTCAGTATTTCCCTAATTTATCCTTCACTGAGCATCTTTTATCATAAAGCTTCATTCTCCTCATACTAATGTCCTTACCATATTTCACAGGGCAGTGACAGCTGGGTTTATAAAATGTCACGGCCATTTTGATGGATGTGGTTCATCCTACAGCTGAAAGCTTTCCTAAGGATTATGACAATTTTCATCATCCCTAGAAATGTTTGTGTCAATGAAGTTTCCACGCTTTCTGGCCAGCACTGGGGATCAGGAAATGTCTAGTAACTCAACATTTTTGTTTACTTGTAAAACTTAGGGTACTTTGTTTTGCTTATGTGAACTCTCTCTCTATGTATATGTGCTCTGATCATTTATTTATATTTCTGTAGTAATTGGGTCTAAACATTAGAGAAAGCTTACCAAAAAAAAAAAAAAAAAAGAGGTTTGCTGAGAGACTGGTGTTCACTCTCTGAACTCACCTGTATGATTCTACTTCCTCCGTAACTTGTTGCAGTTTTTGGTCCGCCTGAGCCAGGATCCCTTGACACTGTGCCCGCTTAAGTTTTTCCTTTCTCAGCTCCCTGAGTTGGGAGAGAAATGCACATTATACAGCAGCCCATGTGGAATTCTCCTTTTCTTCCCTCCCAGCATGTGAAGGCTGGGACTCAAAGGTTCCCTGCCACCTGCCCTAAATGTACAGACTGACAATCACAGTCAGAGGAAGAACTGAAACCTTCCACTGAGGGACAAAGGAAAATCAAGCTCTGGCCTCTGGCAAGTCCTCTCCAATTCTGAGCTCCTACTAGTCTTACCTGTCTACTCTTATTCATTAGTAAAAAGTCAAGGAATATCAAAAGCACCTGTGACATGCACAATGTGCTCTTCTGGGGTCAGTCACCTGCTTGAGACGGTGAGAGTTCGTTTCATTGTCATGTGGAGCCAGCCCTGACCAACTCATCACAACTAGACACATCAGGATGGAGCAGGGCATCGGTACTTGTCTGACTTCTCCCCCAGGGAGACGCAGTTCTCAGTCAGAGGCTGAGCCAGGACCCAGACACTCAGCCTCAGAGAGATTCCTGCAGGACACGGAGTCATCAGTCCTGCAGTTCACTATGGGACATTTCTCTGATTCAGGATTGGAACTCTTATCACCTACTTCTAGGGTCCTGGTTGAGGGAAAAGACCAATCTTAGTCCCGACCACATGTACTGAACCAAAGATGATCTGAAAGTCTCCATAGTCAGGTGTTACCTCCTGCAAACAGATGCCAAGTGGAAAACCACCCAGCTTGGTTGAATAAAGTTGAGTTCATATGAAGTAGAGGCAGAAAAGGGCAACGACCTCACGGGTAGACCAGCTATGTTGCTCTCAGACTGCGTCATTAATGCTTTCTGAGTGGCTGGAATGCAGTGGGTGCAGTGCAAGGTGCTGTGGACACAAAGGGGAGCAGGGCGCTGTCCCCACCCTAAAGGAGCTCACAGATTTATGCAAAGGAGCAGCAGCGAGGACATGGCTGCCCCTGCCATGCACGTGAGAAGAAGTAACAGAGGACCTGAGTGTTGAGGAAAGCTGGGGAAGGGTTGTGCAGTGGAATATGGATGAGTGGATCTGCGGCCCCTGACCTCCCTCTGAGAACACTAGGAAACACAGGGCTCCATGCATCAGATTTGATGAAATGAAATGAAATCATTATACATGGCTGTAAAGAAACATGAGGCAAAGAGGGAGAGGGATGCCAAAGGTCAACCTGGCATCTGTGGCCAATTTCCACTAGTTTCATTAATGACTCTCAGAAGAGACTACTGAGATGCAAAGAACCTGAGCACCTTCCACACACATGCACAGGCGTAGAAGGAAATTGAGAGGAGTTCAAGGTCTGGTAAAAAAAAAAAGTGACCCCCACTGTAGTCCACTGGCTTTGGTTGGGATCCAGAGGAGCTGTGCTCTAGGAGTGAAGGTGGGCAGGCAATACACCGGACTTTGTTGTGACTGAGCACTGCTGACTTGTTAGGGGCACCCAGTGCTGCTAGTGACCCTGAAAACCTGCTAAAAGTAACCCCCCATTATCTCCCTAGCTGGATAACATTGTACTAGGTCTCAATTTTTGTCTAAATGTTTTTTACCCAGTGTCTTGCATTTAATAAAATATTATTACACATATCATAGGACAATACAATGATGGAAACCGAAAGGATTATGTAAATCCTGATATTGAAGTTAAACAATGTTGGTGTCACTACCCGCTCCAGCCTTAAGTAAATTAGAAAGAAGAGTGCATGAAGGGAGAGAAACAATACAAATTACAGAAATCAAGGCAGGGTTGACAAGAACAATTCTTTACCTAGTGAATTAGCCACAAATACTGTACAGAGTATTCTAAAAAAAAAATCTCAATTTTCTACGTAGATCCACACATCATTCACACCACAAACTGTATTGGTATCAATGAGCCCATGAACATCTTACTCCTCTAGTTCAGCCAGTTGTTCTTCATACATTTTATAATGATGTTCTCCTATTGTTTCTGTTGTTCTCAATTTAGCCTCATTTTCTGCTTTCCTATATCCCAGTTCTTCACAGATGTTGAAATTCTTTTTAATTCCTGGAAAGGACAAAACAGGTTTCTTTGTGTGTGCGGGTTGGTTGGGGTGGGGAAAGGAGGTGAGAATCCTGCAGGCAGGAAGCCTGTCTTCACCTTCCAGGGAAGACTCATTTCCCCTCTCTGGGGACTTCCTCCCCACAAGTAACATACCTTCTGGGTGACAGATATTGCAACTTGAGCCTCTTAGATCTGATCCCTTCAATTTATTCTTTATGTATCCTGACTTTAAGACAGATTTGAGAAAAGCCATTTAAGAAGTACTGATTGCACAACAATGTGAATATACTTAACAGTACTGAAATAAACTGAATTATGGTAAAATGAAGCAGTCCAATTCTTACCAAGTCCATATTTTTGACATTCTGATGTCTCTCATATTTAATCCTGGCCCACGTAGTTCTCTCACATGTTTTGACTTGATCCTTCAAAAAAACTGAACGTTAATAATTACCCATTGCTTTTCCTTTTGGTTTTAGACTGTAATCCAGGCAAACAAAAGGGATTTTACCTTAATTTAAGTGGAGTATTGAAAAGATTCTTACTTACCTTCTTCCTGTCTTTAAGGCATTTCATTGATTCATTGATCTACATAAATATGGAATAAAAAGTTATAATTTCAACATATTAATTATCATGCTAGTAAAACCTGCCTTCAAGTGTGTAACTCTTGAGAAAAAGAAGGTGGTACATTACATATATGAAGCTTGCTTTGAATGCAGACGGTTTATAGAGCATGTGAAGTAGGATACTCAGTGAAAGGTGAGGGAGCAAAATAACTATGGGAGGTGGAAGGAATTTAAAGTTAAACCATGAAAAAATAAAGTTGAAAGAACAGTGATACCTGCTGTTCCCAAATAGAAACAATTGATACCTTCAGTTATAAATGGAAAGGAAGAGAAAAAATATTAAAGCAGTAATGACTGACAATTTTCCAAAATTAACGATGGACACCAAACCACAGATCCAAGGAGCTCTGAAGAGACTAAAAATATCCTTCACATAGACATATACTAGTGAAATTACAGAAAATTTAAGATAAACAAAAAATCTTGGAGGAAGCCAGAAAGAAAAATAAAAACTCCTTACCTTCACACAATAACTAGAATAAGAATGAAATCAGACTTCTCTTTAGAAACCACGTAATCAAAAAGAAAGTGAGATAAAATTAAATGTTAAAAGAAAGGCACTACCAAACTAGAATTCTGTAGCCTGAAAAATTATCCTTCAAAAGTGAAGGAAAAATAAAAACTTTCTCACACAAACATGAAATTAGGGAGGTTGTCTCCAGGAGACCTGGCTGGCAAAAACTGTTAAAAGAGGGTCTTCAGAGAGAAGGAAAATAAAGTATGTCTGCAGTGTGGATCTACATAGTTAAGGGAAGAGCATTAGAGAAGGAATAAATTAAGTTAAACGTTTTCTTATTCTTAATTGATTAGTAGGAAACCTTTTATTCAAAATGATGATAGCAGAAAAAGGAAAAATTATAATAACAACAATATATTTGGTGATTGTATGTATGTATCCAAATGATGACAAGAATATAAGGAATGGGTGGAGTTTGAAAACAGCCTGTTACAAGGTCCACGTCCTCATATGCAGTATTGTGGTATTGAACAAGAACATGGATTACGTCCAATGTCTATTTCAAACTCAAAGACAACATCTACAAAAAGTAAAAGATTAAAACGGATAATAAGTATAAGCAATATGCAAAGAGGAGAAGAAATCCTGCAAAACTCTCCATCAAAACCAGAGAAACAAAGAAACAAAAGAAAGCAAACAAGTAAACAAATAGAAAACAGTAACAAATATGAGAGATATTACTCGAACCATATCAATAATCACTTTAAACATAAATGATCTAAATATACCAATTCAAAGGCAGTGACTGAGAGAGTGGATAATAAAATATAACCCAACAATGTCATATCTACAAGAAATCCACTTTAAATACAAAGATAACGCATACATTAAAAGTGCAGGGATGCTGCGAAAATCCAATATGCCAGCGCTCATCAAATGAAAACTGGAGCAGCTATTTTAATTTCACACAAAACACATTCCAGAGCAAGGAAAGATATCTGGGGTCCAAATGGGCATTACATTAATGATGAAGGGGTCAGTTCTCCAAGAACACACGACAGTCCTTATTGTGTGTGCACCTAACAGCAGAGATCAAAACACATGAGGCAAAAACTGGCAGAGCTGGAAGGAGAAATAGATGAATCTACTATCATAACACCCCTCTCTCAGTCACTGGCAGAAAATCAATAAGGATATTGTTGAACTGAACAGCACCATCAATCAACTAGATCTATTGGCATCTATAAAAATACTTTATCTTACAACAGCAGAATGCACAGTCTTCTTGAGCTCAGGTCGCATAATCAAGATTAGATGAAATTCAGGCTATAAAACACACCTTCATTAATTTAAAGGAATAGTCATCATAGAAGGTTTGCTTTTAGGCCACAAAATGAACCTAGAAACCAATAACAGAAAGATAGATGGAAAACTACAAAATATTTGAAGATTAAATAAATAACATATTTCTAAAGGACACATGGGTCAAAGTTTTCTCAACTTTGAAATTTTAAAATCTTTATATACAAATCATAACAAAGTAAGAAATACTAAAATTTGTGGGATGCAGCGAGAACAGCAGTATGAATAAAATTTGTAGCACTGAATGGAAATAAAAGTTGCAGTGATGGTAAAAATTTCTGCTTATTTGCAAGCATCCTGGTATGGTGTATGTTAAGCATACTCACATCATGGAGAGTTCTGTAGAAGAAAATGTTTAACGTAACACTTCCCAAGTATGACACAATAACGACAGACTTCCAAAGAATTCCCAACCAGTGAGGCCCAAGTTGAACATTATCAAGCAGAATATGGACGAGCTGCAACAATAGTGAGACGCCTGGATGACATTTACAATACATCAGTCACAAAGAACTATCTTGAGACACCCAACTACACCCTCAGAAATCTCCAGGGAATACCACTGCCTCAAGGAAGTGTGGAAATTTCCAGTTTAATGTGTTTTGCATGGCTGATAATGTTATTAGACATTGTGAATGTGGGTGGTTTTCTTTTCCTTTTTCTTTTTTTTTTTTTGGTCTAAAGTGGTATCTTTTTTCTCAAATTTATTTATTTATTTTTTAAACTGACATATAAAATTGTCTTTATCCTGTTCGACACGATCTTTTGAAGTATACATACATTGTGGAATGGTAACCTAGCTAACCCGCAAGTGCATGATCTCACATAGATACGGGGTGTCCGGCAGGAGACTGCGGGCCATATTACTGGTTCACTGGGGCCCTGCCCTCTCCTGTGTCTAATGTTGTGCGAGACTCACTTGGAATCACACTGTTCTGTCAGATTTGATGGATCGTTAGCATTAAAAAATAGATCCAAAAATACAATAAAGACATGACTTTATTCAGAAACAAATGTCAAATTTAGTGCTTAAAAATAAGCAAGGTGGAAATAATGAAAATCATAGTAATGACGTGGGATTTCTCTAAGATTCTTGACATTAATTCTACTAAACTGTTATGTGAGTGAAGACAAAGACTTTCACCGAATAAGTCAGACAGATTCTGATAACTGTCCTACAGAGTCTGCTGGATTTAATTGTATGTTCTTCAAAATTCCACATCATAATTCTGATTGTTTCTTCCTGTGAGTGAAAGAAACAGAGATAGTCGTTCAACCGGTCTGACGCAGCATGTACTGAGTCAGGAGTGGGAGGGAAGGAATTACGGGTCCAGCAACAACGTGTGTGATTTCAGACCCACTCTGCTGAGCAGGATGAGGCAGACACAGAAGAGTGGATGTGGCACCGTCTATATATATGAAATTCTAAACTAAGCACAATTCCCCTATGATGAGGACAGGGACTGACTGGGAAGGGGGAGAGGTCATTCTCTGGGGTGACATAATATTGTAGATCTTGAAAGGGGTGTGGGTTATGCTGGTATATGTAGTTTACCAGGTTAGTGACTGGTAAACTACTGGTATACTTAATATTTGTAGATTTTATGGCATATAACCTTCTTTGAAAAGAGAAATCTATAAACAAATATTGAGTTCTAGTTAGTGATAGTCATGCTAGACTATTTAGCAGGAAGTATATAGATGTCTGTGATTCAATTAGAAACACATCCAAAATACAATGGAATGATGAATGGATAGAGGGATAGAAGGATGGAAAGATATGTGTTTAATCATATTTAGTAAAATGCTAACAAATCAATGCTGTATGTTTGAACATTGTCATAGTAACATCTTGGTTGTAGTTAGTAAAACCACACGTTACATGACAGGGATTTTTCTTTTGAACAAGCATTCCAAAATAAATAGTATTCATATTCTACATGTTTGAGCATTTTGAGGCATAATCCCAGTTGTATTTGTCCCCAGTTAATCTGTCATGGAGCTACAGAATGTAAGGATATACTGGGAAATCTTACAGAGGTGCCACTTTCTGGGTTTTAGTTTTAAGGGCAACATCGAAATGGAAAATATATACCTCATATCTCTTTCTTAGTTAAAGGAAAATACATTGATATAGACGCATATAAAGTAATTCTATTCAGCAAAGAAAGGGATAAGCTATGAATATTTAAAACATTGTGTATAAATCTCAAAATAATTATGACTAGAGAATCCAGAACAACACAACCCATCCTGTATGACTGTGTTACATGAAATGGTATAATATAAAATGTTCAACAGCAGATCAGGGGGAGGATGGTGGGATGGGGGAGAAGGACAGGCAGGTTAAAGGGAACAGGAAGAAACCTTTGAGGCTGATGGGTGTATTTACTGTCTTGAACCCTGAATGCTGTAAGGGTTTAATTGCTGTATCTATACTGTAAAATCAACAGATTGTATCCTTTTAGTAAAAGATGCTATTTACTATACATAACTTTGCCACACGTATACTCTAAGAAAAAAAATCTGATACACAAACTGTTAGTTTCTGTTTCCCAGACAAAAAACATTGCAAATATTTTTTGAAAGTTAAGAGAATTTTCCTTCTAAATTTATGAGCCCATTTAAAAATGAGAAATAAATAAAACTTACAATGGATGAGAAGCCTAGGTCTTCTTTGCAATAGCCACGCACTGTCTGGGTGAAATTCTTTGGAAAATATTCACAAATATTCACAAACTAAATGGAAGAATGGGAAAAAAATAATAAAAATGTATTAAAGATATAAATGAAAATAATATTTACACATAGGTTTATATATATAGATATAAGTGAGAGAGATGAACAGTGTTATAATAAGAATGCTTGAGTTATTATTTCAGGAACAATTAAGTACTGATTGCTGTTTAGCCCATTTCTAAAAATATTTAAGTTCATTTTTCATTTTCACTTTGATTCTGAACCAAGACACTTAGTGTCAGATTTCTGAAGTACATACAGATTTGCATAATACAGTGATCTTATAATTGTGATGAAAACTATGAATATTGAAGTTAGTTAAAAACACAATATCAAACAACCAATAAGAAGTATCCACATTCATATTTCATGGCATTGCACCTAAACCAATCGATAGCAACCTTGGAAATCAATCTGTAAAGGAAGACGAATTTTAGGAATGCATAGCTTTCACAAGAAAAGGCCAACAGATCCTTTTGAAAATCCAGATTTATAAGTATTTTGGGAGAAAATAAATTCAAAAGGTAATTCAGACCAATCCACATACCAAGCCTCTGTTTTGAGCCAAGAACACCTGTCTAGGATGCGGCCTGTGAACCCTGTAACACGTTCATCTTCAGCCTCACGGCCGAGGGGAGTCCAGCGTGTGCTCCTGGGAAGCAGCAGGCCTGTGAGCAGCCCGTCTGAGAGGCAGCAGGAGCTCTCAGTGCACTGGGGAAAGATGTGCATCAAATGCGCAAAGGGACAAAGGCCGTCTTGATACCAACTGGTAAAACATCTCCAGTTGTGGGCACTCTTGCTACATGCAACACAGAGATTAGTAGTGGACTCCTATCTACATTAGATCCCAAGGGGCCAGTAACAGCTGAGCTTCTCACAGTCTATGCCCATGAGCAGCAAGAGGGGGACATTGAAAATGCAAAACAAGGTAATTTGTCCAAGTGGTCGAAAGTGATGTAGGGGAAGAGTGTTTAACTGAACTATGAAAATGCAGCCAAGTAAAGGGGGAAAGTTTCCAGTAAAGATTATCCAGACATGCCCTCCTTAGCAGACTCAAAAGAAGCAGAGTAGATCCTTCTTTGCATGGAGATCTTCCTGGGGGATGATTCTGCCTCAATGGGACGGGCGTTCCCCATCACTGGATGTTCCAGATCCCTCTCAAAGAAGGTGGTGCTGCCCATCACAACAAATCTCATCTCCACATGGTCTCCACCTCTCACCCACTAACCCCTTCCCGGGGCATAAGGGTGTTTTAATATAATGGGAGAGTGAAAACTTTTAAACTAGAAACCTATCATGTCTTCATATTTGACAATCCTAAAGACTTTAATGGTCCTTTCTGTTTTGGGTAAATCAATAATCTGCACACGTATTTTACAAAATAAAGGACAATAACTCCCTCACCTCCTTGTCACGTCACTCCTAGATATTTCCCCATTTTAACCATGCAAGCAGGGTGCAGCCATGGATTTTCACATCTCTAGGGCTTCTCAGGGCCCCCATCAAACTGGTTGGACACAGAGTCCGTAGGAGCAGCTTTCAAAAGCACAAGGAAGGAATGACTCAGAAGTTCCTACAAGTCAACAAACCAGAGAACACAAAGCACAAGTGACATTTAACTTTCAACATACTAGTACTAACACCAGTGATTCGGTACCACTGTTCCCAGGGCTGCCAAGCTCCCTAATGCGAATGATGGACTCTCAGGGAAACAACTGCACATGGGACAGCACGAAACCTGCAGGAGTTGAGGAGGATCTCACACAGGGCTTCCAGGAGCCAGTCAAATACCCGTGAAGCCTATTAAAAAAGAGTTCCTTACGTTTTCTAAAACTTTATTGAGATACAATCACATACCATGCAATTCCCACCAGTAAATATTACAATTCAGTGGTGTTTAGTGTATTCCTAAATCCTTCCTGTATGACAGTGCACAGTTACTATGTCCACATTCCACGCTGTCACCCTTTCCTGTGTTTGGACCAGCCCACCTTGATGTGTACAGGTGTGGGCAGAGCGGCCAGGCTGCTCAGGACATCCTCACTGAGGTCCTTGGTCTGCAGGAAGGACAGAGCTCCCATCATAGCCCCTGTGAGGTGGTGTTATGTAAACCACAGTGTGACACAGCCCAATATAAAGGGGGAGACCACGGCGTGTCCAGTGTTTACTCACATTTGTGGACAGGTAAAAAGCGCTGAGCAGGAGAAGCCAGAAGATCAGCCTCTTCACCACCATGTCGGGGTGCTCTCAGGGCACCCTGAGGTCGCCAGGAGTGAGGCTGGGTGTATTGGGGGTAGGTGGGGGGACTGATGGGAATTGGCCACAATTGGGGAGGAGGAAGGGGGGGAGGGGGTGGAGGGGAGGAGGGTGTTGGGCATTGGGGAGGAGGAGGAGAAGGAAGGGGTCTGGGGAAGTATCAGGGTCAAATTGAAGGCTTAGTGACAGGTTAGGGTATGAGCAGGTCAGCTGATCAGCAGTCTGCAATGATCCTGAGTGGAACACTCAGGATAACTTGGAGGGGCACAGAGCTCTGCTACCCTCCAAACCTTACTCCTGTGTGGTCCCTCCTCTAGCAACCGGGTGCTTTATACTTTCTGTGGACAAATCTCCTGCTTGCCCCTGGAGCATCACAGTGGACACCCCCTTGCCACCTCACCTCTTTCTGAGGTCACCCCTCCTCCACCCGAACCTCACCAGGTGCTGTCCCAAGGATAGGTCCTCTCTGCAAACTTTGCTGACCTTCTCACCTCTTGTCCTTCCCAACTCAGCTCTCCTATCCCGGCTTCTGGGCCTTTCCTTCCTTCCTGAACTCCCAAGGGTTCCCATGGTCAACTGCAAAACAGTTGGGCTGGGCTGCAAAACATAGACAGTGAATGATGACAGAACCTCAGGAAGGACCCAACACACACGCAGAGTGAGAGGTGTCACACCCCTCTCAACAACTCATGTAGTAAGCTACAGAACACCCCTGAGATGTAGAAGATTCAAAGAGAAAACCATCTCAACCATATTTATTATCTATCTGACATCTTTCTATCTATGCAAAAACTGTTCAAGATATAATTTTAAACACACATGGTACATTTACAAATATGAACTCTATTTTTCTGTCCATGAAATAAAGATCAATATATTTCAGAGTGCTGGGCATGGTGGCTCAGGCCTGTAATCCTAGCACTCTGGGAGGCTGAGGCGGGAGGATTGCTTGAGCTCAGGAGTTCAAGACCAGTCCGAGCAAGAACGAGACTCTGTCTCTACTAAAAGTAGAAAATTTAGCCCAAACAACTAAAAATAGAAAAAATTAGCCAGGCATTGTGGCGTGAGCCTGTAATACCAGCTACCTGGGAGGCTAAGTCAGGAGGATCACTTGAGCCCAAGACTTTGAGGTTGCTGTGAGCTAGGCTGATGCCATGGCACTCCAGCCCGGGCAACAGAGTGAGACTCTGTCTCAAAAAAAAGGAAAGATAAAAAAGAAAAAGGAGATATTACAAATATATATATTTTGGTTACATACATTGCTTTTGTACCAATTGAGTGAAAATTTTAAGTGTGACCATCATCGAGATAGTGTGCATTGTACCCAATACGTGTGAACTTATGTGTTTCCCTCCTCCCCCTCCCACCTGCTTGATTTCTGATCAATATTATTTCCATATGTGCACATAAGTGTTGATTGATTGATTCCACTTTATTGGTGAATACATGTGGTGTTTGTTTTTCCATTCTTGTGATACTTCGGTTAGAATAATGGTCTCCAGCTCCATCCAAGTTAATACAAGAGGTATTCACCTTTTTATTCTGGTTGAGTAGTACTCCATGGTATACATACATATACCACATTTTATTAATCCATTCACGTATTGATGGGCACTTGGGTTGTTTCCACATTTTTGCAATTATGAATTGTGCTGATATAAACATTGGAGTGCAGTTGTCTTTTTTATAGAATGTCTTTATTTCCTTTGGGTAAATACACAGTAGTGGGATTGCTGGATCAAATGGTAGCTTTACTTTTAGTTCTTTGATGTATCTCCACACTACTTTCCATAGAGGTTGTACTAGTTTGCAGTCCCACCAGCAGTGTATGAGTGCTCCTATCTCTCTGCATCCATGTCAACATTTGTTGTTTTATGACTTTTTGACAAAAGCTATTCTCACTGGAGTTAAGTGATATATCATTGTGGCTTTGATTTGCATTTCCCTGATGAGTATAGATGTTGAGCACTTTTTCATGTTTGTTGGCCATTAGTCTATCTTCTTAGAAACATACAGCCTCTCTAGGCTCAATCAGGATGAGATAGAATTCCTGAAGAGACCAATATCAAGTATCAAAATTAAAGCAGCAATGATAAATCTTCCAACAGAAAAAAGTCCCAGACCAGATGGTTTTACACCGAATTTTACCAGACCTACAAAGAAGAACCGGTACCTATCCTGCAGAAATTATTCCATAACATTGAGAAGGAAGGAATCCTCTCCAACATATTTTATGATCACCTTGATAGCAAGGATGATCAACATCACCTTGATAGCAAAGCAAGGAAGGGGCTCAAAAAACAAAAACAACAATAATAACAAAAAACTATAGATCCATATCCTTTATGAATATAGATGCAAAAATTCTCAATAAAATCCTAGCAAACTGAATTCAGCCACTCATCAAAAAAATAATCCATCATGACCAAGTGGGCTTCATCCCAGAGATGTAGGGATTGTTCGACATACACAAGTCTATAAATGTAATTCACCACATAAATAGAAGTAAAAACAAAGACCATATGATCCTCTCGATAGATGTGGAAAAAGCATTTAAGAATGTTTAACAAAATAGGCATAAGTCCTTGGCTGGGCACAGTGGCTCACGCCTGTAATCCTAGCACTCTTGGAGGCCGAGGCAGGTGGATCACTCAAGGTCAGGAGTTCGAAACCAGCCTGAGCAAGAGCGAGACCCCCATCTCTGTTAAAAATAGAAAGAAAATAATTGGCCAACTAAAAATATATAGAAAAATTAGCTGGGCATGGTGGCACATGCCTGTAGTTCCAGCTACTCAGGAGGCTGAGGCAGAAGGATTGCTTGAGCCCAGAAGTTTGAGGTTGCTGTGAGCTAGGCTGATGCCATAGTTCTCTAGCCCAGGCAGCTAGGACAACACTGTAGAGCTGCTGCCTACTGAGTCTATGTTTTAAGAGAAAAGATCAAAATGGGAAAATAAACTCCGTGTCTCTTTCCAAGGTAAAGGATTAAAAAAATGTGGCATATCCATACTAAGGAATTCTATAAAGCAATTAAAAAGTACAAATCATTAATACAGAAAACATCATAAATCTCAAAATGATTGTGCTGAGTTAAAGAATCCAAAATACACACTACAACCTACATGATTCTAGTACATAAAATTCTATAAAAGTCAAATGAGTCTGTCAAGGAAAAATGGAAGGAATGGAGCGAGAGATAGGACAAATATATTACAAACAAACAACAGGAAACTTCAGGGAGTTTGGGATATGTTAATTACCTTACTTTTAGTGATGTTTTATGGCAGTTTATGTATGTCAAAATTCAATAAATTATAAAATTTATATAGGCTCTGTTTATTCTATATCCCTTATACCTCCATCAAGATGTAGAAAAACATCTGATACACAAAATGAAAGGTTTGTAAACATTTTGGCAGGCAAAATATTGAAAATATTTTTTAAAATTTTGTAGAATTTAAGTTATAAATGTATAAAGTAGTTTATAATTGAGAAAAATAAATGTTAGAAACTTACATTGAATGGAAAATCTAAGTTTTCTTTTGCATATTTATGAATTGCCTGGAGGAAATCCTTTGAACATATACAACAATATGCCAGATTTGTATGAAAGAGTGGGAAAATATAATTAAAATTCCAAATTAAACATATAAATTATGTGTGTGTGTATGTAGATAGAGAAATATGTTTACAGCTATGGGTATAATAGGCAGTTACTATTATACACTGCAGGCTATACTTAAGGCCAAGTTTCTCAAACAATTAAAGTTTTCTTTCAATATTTATTTTCATTCTAAATTAGGCATGCACATAATGTCAAGTTTTTGAAGTATATAAAAGATTTGCAGAATATAAGAATTCTACATATTATGAGGGGAAACTAGAGAATCAAGGCTAGTTTAAAAATATAATTGCAAGGGAAAGGTGATAAAACAGGAAAGCCTAGACTCCCATTATCACCCAGGAGACATGGATTTAACAATACACACAGCAAAGGCCTCTGTGAGAAATCTAGAAACCAGTTAAAACGTTCCTGTGCTGTAGGCAAGTGCGTATTCAATCACATCAAAACCTGGTAGAAAAATTCAGGGCACTAGCTCTCTCACCAGAGCTCCTCCCCATAGCAACACCCCTGCTGTTAGTAGGAAACTCCCAATTCCAATCTCTTCCATGGAGAGGGAAAGGATTAGAGCAACATGCAAGGTTCTGACTATTAGGGGGGACTGTCCAAGGGACCAGTTTCTGTCTTACCTAAATCCACGGACAGCAATGTAGTGCCAGGTTGGAGGAATCAAAGAAAAAAGATGATCCTAGAACACTTAGTGCAGAGGCTGCAGTATCAAAGACGAATACTAAGACACTATGGGAAGGAAGCTCCACTACTGCGGATAACTACAGCACCATAGAGGCCATGGTATCACAGACACCAAGGGGAGCTCCTAAGTAGAAACCTGCAAAGCTCTTCCATTAAATTACACAGGCCCAGAAAGGATATATCCCCAGAAGAGACGTGAGAGGCCATTAGAATCTCTAGCTGGGCTGACTGCACAGAAGGGACAGAAAGTCCTTTTTGTATAAATACAGACTGCAAAGTCTGGGTGGGGTAGCTGATTTGTCATATGCCAAAACACTCCCTAAGAGAGTAAAACATATATATATATAAAGAAACAGGAAAACACAACACATTAAAGGAACAAATTAATTTTCAGAACCAGAACCTAAAGAAGTGGAGATATATGAATTGCCTAAGAATCCAAATTACCGTCATAAGGATGCTAAAGGAAGCAAAAGAAAGCACAGGCAGGTAACGAGAAAACAAAATCGGGAAAACGACACATGAACAAAATGAGAATATTAACATAGAGAAAGTATGAAGAAGAACCAAACAGAATTCCTACAACTGAAGAATACAATAACTGAATTGAAAAATTCACTGGAGGGACTCAACAGCAGTCTTGACCAGCCAGAAGAATCTGCAAACTAAAAGACAGGAGAAAACAGCAGAGAAACTATTTGAAGAAACGATGGTTGAAAACTTTCCAAATCTGAGAAGAGAAATGGACATACAAATTCAAGAAACTCAAAGAACTCCAAATAGGATAAAAATCTAAAGAGACCTAGACTGAGACATATTATAAACTTTGAAAAGTCACAAAGAGAATCTTAAAAGTGTCAAGATAAAAACATCTTGTCACATACAAGGGAAATTTTACTGGATTATTGGCAAATTTCTCAGCAGAAACCTTGCTAAAGAAAGGTTTATAGTTTAGAAGGGAGTAAAATAACATATTTAAAGTACTGAGGTTGAGTTTAGTGGCTCATGCCTGTAATCCTAGCACTCTGGGAGGCCAAGGCAGGATAAGAGCTCTGTGTTTGAGACCAACCTGGGCAAGAGGGAAACCTCCCCATCTCTACTAAAAAATAAAAAATAAATTTAAAAAATTAAGTGCTGAAAGAAAAACCTGACAACAAAAATACTATATCTGACAAAGCAATCCTTCAAAAATGATAGGGAATTTCACTGGGTAGACTGAAAGCAAGCAAAGCAAATGAGAAAAAGGGAGTGGGGAGACATCTAGAGGCCAGTGGATGGGTTTGTTATCAAGGAGTTTCAGCTAGTTTTGAATGTTCAGAATTAGAGCAGTAAAAAGGACATTGAAGCACCAAAGTATGAACTCAAAGTGGAGGATTCTTAACATAGTTTTCTTCTTTCCTCTGTTTCTTTCTAATCATGACTTTGTTTCTAGTGAATTTCTTCCTTTTGTATCTCTCTTTTTCATCTCTATCTTCAATTCTTTCTGCTTCTTCCCATTTCCCATCTGTTCCTGCCCTTTTCTCTGACTTACTCCCCACAAGTCCTCTTCCCCAACTCCAGACCTACCAAGAACACAGGGGCAATCACCCCCAGCAACCCCCCCCCCCTGCCCCACCAAACATGTCTCATTCACTGTCATATTTTGACCCAGGTCCTGCTCACAGGGGATGTTGAGAGGCAGCACATGCACCTATCTCCTGCCTGCAGTTTTTAGCCCTTCCAGAAGCTGCCTATGCACAGCCCTACCTTGAACCCCCTTGGTGGCTAAGCCCTAACCCCACAGCTGCTGATGACCTGGCTGATACTCCCTAACTGGCAGGGGGAGGGCTCTTAGGGCTCCAGGGGGTGTCAGTTGGTAATCCAAGAATCAGACATTGAGACATAGGACTGCAAAGGGTTTATCATGGAAATGCCTACAGAAGGTTGAAAGAGGGAGAATGCAGAATTGGGTAGCAAAACCCCACAGAGCATGATACAGACTTGACACCTTTTCTAACTTTAAAAAACCACCAGTTATTTGCAAGAGGGTGTGATAATATATATTTTAAAGGGGTCACAGTATTTCTCTAAGAAACTATGAAAGATCAATCTTTGTATTGATATTTTAATCTTATTTTTATAAACATGTGATTAATGACTTTGTCTGTTGTGGGGATTGGTACTCTTCATCACAATTTCCAGCCCTGTTTCTAGTCACAGCAGAGAGAAAATAATGACTGCTTTGGAGGATGGGTTGACTTATTCAAGTTCCAGAAAATCAAGATGAGTGGTTTCCATGAGATGATACAGGTATAGCATAATATAACATTAGAACTAAAATATTCCAACAAATCATCTAGTTCAAATCCTATCAGCTGGTTCCCACTACCTTTAATAGGAACAAATCCCTTACAGTGGAATATTGTTAGACATAGTTCTGGTTGCTTCAACAGAGACACAAAATAATGCCTTTCTCCCTTACTTAACAGTCTGGGCATATGCAGACCTTGCCTGGTTTAGCAGCTCCACATCTCGGGGATCCAGATTGTTTTATGTATTTGCTCCACCATCTCTAGGGTATTTCTGGGATGAGTGAACACCATATCCACATCTAGCCAGTGGGTTGTGGGAGTGCAGAAAGGAAAAACATTCTTCTAGCCTAAGAGAATAACCAGAAATTGTTATATATTGCCTCTGCTCATGTTCCATTGGCCCGACTTTAGTCATGTGGCTATACCAGCTTCAGAAGAGGCCGGGAACTGTGATCTTTATTCTGAGAGGCTACGTGCCAAGCTAAGAATTGGGGTTTTCATTTCTACTGAGTGAGAGTAGAGTGTGACTATTGAGAGACAGCAGTTTATCTGTCAGTCTACCCATTTATTTAACTAAATATCCATAAGTACACATAGAGCAATTTTCCCACGCACAACATATTCTCATCTCCTGTACAAGAGTTATAACCTCAAAGTCTCATAAAATTGCTACATCTAATTCAAAATTCAAGAACTTTAGAATTTTGCTCAGTTCTCTCCACCAAGTAATGATGGGACTCCCTGTCATCTGGCAAATGATAAACTAAAACATAAGTTATCTCTACTCTGCAAACAACCTACTCTATAACCCTGGAGTAGAAACCATAAAATTGCATTAACAACCTCAAGACTGGAAAGAGGAGAATGAGCTACACCCAGCTGACATGGGTCAGTGGCAATGATCTAACCCTGCCGGGCGGGAATTGTGAAAGCTCCCATCCTGGCAGTGCCTGGTCTCAGCCAGCCCATCTGGCAGGCCCTGATTTGGCCCTCTGGGAGGCATTCCACATCTCTTGTCTCTTCTACCCATTTTGCCTTGTGGAAAATCATTTGTGCTTATCATCCTCTGTGGCTACATCTGAAGTTGCCACTGGAGAATGTGCCCCTCTGGAGGACAGCAGGGCTTTTGCAGCCTACTTTGTGTTGGTGCAGAATTGGGGTCATGGCAGTTCTATTAGAGGTCAAACTTGTCTATGCATCAGAAGGCCAGATTTATGGATTCTTTTGCAATAAAATGCCCTCAAACATTCAGGTTTCTAGTCTACTCACATCTGCTAAAGTCCATAGCTATCCTCAAATATCTTGTCCAGACATAGTTTGGAGGCCTGAAACTGTGGTCTTCTTCATACCAGATCCTGGGCTTTATCAATCCTGTCTACTGGAGACAATTCAAAATAACAGGTTAGGATGGAATGGTGATGCACTTAGCCAATTTACCTTTGGGTTGACTGTGTGGTGGATGTGACTGAGAAGTGTTTGTGTGCACTGTCCTGCTAAGGCCATCTCTTCAAAGCTGCCTCTTGTACTTGTTTCATTTTGGTGGAGTACAGAAGCTCTTGCCTCTTTAAATCTTGGGGGGTACCAGTGACTCTACGCTCAGCCAAAGTAGATTGTCCCCACAGGCAAAGACAGCTGCTTTAGCAGAGCTGTCTTCCATGACATCACTGCTTGCAAACTGCCCTGAGATCTTTTCCTTGATGTAGATTTTTGGGAAAGTGCCAAGATGAAACCAATACACACTAACTTTCCCAGTGTTCCTATTAATGTCTCCTCCAGGTACAGGCTCTGAGGGCATATAGTCTGCCCCTCAAAATACCACAGGCAACAGTTTTGTAAGCATTTTGTCACAAATGCAAAGTCACCATAATTTCCTCCTGTCATACTTGTGTCCAGTGCCAACCTTCTACAGCTAGTACTGTTAATATTTACATGAGGCAAGGGGATAATGGGCTCCGGCATCCCGACCCCCCAAGACTGGGGCCCAGTTGTGCAACATGGTGGCCACCCAGCTGGCCCAGATGGGAAATGAAACAGTGACCTGGTTAGTGAAGGAGGATGCTTGGGGATCCCTCTTGACAGAGGAGACTCCAAGGCAAACTGGACCCAGGACAGCCCTCTCTCCTGGAAGTCACCACTTCAGAGACAGACCCAGAGGCTCCACCCAGCTACCCAGCCACAAAGGGGGACCCGAGTATCCAAGTGCCATGGGATCCTGCACAGCTGTGCCCCTGGGAGGTCAGAGCCTTAGAGCTCAAGGGCCCCTCCCAGCCCTGATGCAGGGACTTCCTAGCTTTCCTGTCCCCTGTACCTGGGCCCTCAGTTCCTCCCCTCCCCCACCTTGCAGGCTCCCTCATTTGCTCCCTGCCCTGACTCCCTGTCTGCCTCTCTCTGCCTGTCCCTTTCTCTGACTCAGTTCTCCAGGTCCTCTGCTCCACTCCAGCCCTGCTCAGGGGTCCTCTCACCACTGACCTCTGTCTTTCCCACAATGAAGAAATTACAGAAGGATACTGGGGCTTCTGAGGACTTCTGGAGAAATCTCTGCTCCCAGCTCTGCTTCCCTGGAGCCCACCTGCACTTGGTACTATTGGGGGGCAGCTGGCTGTGTGGGGGAAGGGCCCTGACACAGCCTAAACTTACAGGGGCTCCTCACTGGGCCCCCAGGCCCCTGCTGGTCTGTCCTGTCTGCCCATTGTGAGAAGTTGCCACCTCACAGGGTAAGAACCTGTCCACATGATCACTAGGCATCCTGGGACTGGCAGGCAGCAGGTGCTTCATAATACTTCTAGAATGAACCAATACCACCCCACCCATGCCTTGACACGGGGTGCTCCCACCATCCCAAGAGAACCCTGGTGTCACTCCCAGTACAGACCGCCTCACAGGTGACCCTGCTTCTGCCTGCACCCCCTTAGTGTCTGCCCAAACTGCATGTGCAGGAGTCACCGTGTGCACCCCAAGTGTCAGCGGGTCCTCCAGGAAGCAGAAACTGAGCCAGATAGAACCGCAAACATTTATTAGGGGAAACACAGGAAAGAATGCAAGAGAGAGGAGGGAGCACAGGGCAGGGAACATGCTGGGAGCATATGCAGGTCTGATACCTTTTCCAATACTATCGGTGCCCTGGCTCAGGGTCCTCTTCAAATTTCAATATGGTTGCCCTGTGAGGAAAAAAGATTCTGGTTTATTTCCATGTGATCTTATTTTTTCCTAGATACATTTTATGTCTTATAATATATCTGTGCCCCTGAGGAATACTTCCGTGTCTGGCTGTATCTTCATGTTTATATGTCACAAAAAATAATAGTTTTCAGATCTCAGGTACAGATCGCTGAATTTCACTGCACACACATTCACTTTTCTTTCTTTCTTTCTTTGATAGGATATTCAGATGCTCCATGAATATTTCCAGAATGAACCAGCACCACCCCCACCTATGCCTTAACACAGGGTGCTCTCACTATCCTGAGAGAGCCCTCCTGTCACTCTCAGCCTCCTTCGCTGCCCAGGTCCCTGCTGCACTTCCCACCTGGGCCAGCTGGGTGGCCACCATGTTGCACAACTGGGCCCCAGTCTGGGGGAGGGGTTGGGGATGCTTAGAGCACATTATCCCCTTGCCCCACGTAAATATTAACAGTACTAGGTGTAGAAGGTTGGCACTGGACACAAGTATGACAGGAGGAAATTACGGTGATTTGCATTTGTGACAAAATGCTTACAAAACTGTTGCCTGTGATATTTTGGGGGGACAGACTGAATGCCCTCAGAGCCTGTACCTGGAGGAGACATTAACAGGAACATTGCGAAAGTTAGTTCATCTTGGCACTTTCCCAAAAATCTACATCAAGGAAAAGATCTCAGGGCAGTTTGCAAGCAGTGACGTCATGGAAGACAGCTCTGCTAAAGCAGCTGTCTTTGCCTGTGGGGACAGTCGACTTTGGCTGAGCATAGAGTCATTGGTACCCCCCAAGATTTAAAGAGGCAAGAGCTTCTACACTGCACCAAATTGAACGCCAGCAGGTCACTCTCCTTCCGCTGCAGCACAGTCGTGTCTGCCGGATGCTGTGTGCAGGATCACCCATGTGTACCCCAGGGGGTCAGCAGTAGAGAAGGTGACTTTGCCTCATCTTTTGAGAAAGGGAATGGAAATCTCTGGACTGGGCTGGCACACACTGATATTTATTTTATGGACTTCAATGAACATCTTTTGATGATCTTCTGCATAGAAATATTTTCATCCAAACAGTGAGGGGCTGAGTGCCCAACATGTACCAGCCATTTTGACAGATTCTTTGTGTGCTTGGTCACTTTGTCCGTATAATGTCCTCAGACAGCAACACTGTCCCCGGCTCACACATGAAAGAACTGAGGCTCTGAGCAGGCCCCACAGACAGTGGGTGTCGGGGCCTGAGGCAGCAGCGCACAGGGAAGGCTGAGGGTGCTCCATGGAAACTTCCGGAGAGCAAATCTGAGCATCAGCGGTGGCTCCCAGTGGGTGCTGGGGCTGAGCCGAGAGACAGCTCAGGATGGGCCTGCAGCTCCCGCCAGAGTCTGCCCCACTCTCAAGGCCAAGGCCTCCTCTCTGCTCACGAGACCCGTCCTCACTTCTGTTCTCACTGGGCCGCACTAAACTCAGGCACAAAAGGTCTCCTGACAGATGCAGGATACATCTCCCAGACCCCAGGGCATTCTTAACACTGTGATCCAGAACCTTTACTCACGCAGGGAACAATCGTCTTCCCTGTGGATTATGGACTCCGAGAGCAGCACGGACCTTGTGAGGGCTTAATCTCCAGGCCACACGGTGCCACTGAGCTCCTCACATGGCCCCAGGCTCCTGTGCAGGCTGCAGCACTGCTGGGAATGGCTGTCCCTCTCCTCCTAAGTGAGCTCAGCACCCCCATGAGGCTCCTACCCCTGCAGTTTATCCCTGGAGGTTCCCTCGCCCGTGTTTGCTCAGGGGCCTTCCCTGCTGCTGCCATTGCAGGTGACCACAAGCTGTGTGCCCTGGGTGGCCTGTGTCCCTCCTACAGGACACGTGAAGCCATCACAGGCAGGGGCAGGTCTCATCCCTCACAGAGCCAGGCATGTGGCTGCAACTGCTTGCCTGTCTGCAAAACTGAAATTTCTGGCTTCTATAAACACCTCCTTCCTCATCTACAGGAGACATCTGTTGCCCAGCTCATGATAGGGAGAAGATGCCACCCTGTGTGTGTCCCCAGAACCTGAGGAAAGCAATGTGTCCTCAGCCAGCTTTACCCTTGTACTGCTAAGCCCTGTAGCACCAGGTGCGACAGGGTTTTTTGTCACCTCAGTGAGAGATAAGGTGAACATGCTGTACAAAGCTCACCCTTGTCAGTCACCATACCAAATGGTGGCCCTTGAGGTGGGGGCTGAGTCTCAGAGGGCAGGAGGGGCGAGGAAGTGGCCCATGGTCTCTGAAGGCTGATGAAGGGCCAGCCATGGGCTTGGGCATGTGGGCCGGTCCTGGGACTCCAGGGGGCCCTCTTGCATCCACCTCCACCTGCAGAGAGAAAATGGTAAAGTTTGAAACCTGCTCACATGATGGACAAAAACACCAATAAAAGCTGAACCTCATGAGGCAGGTGACAGACACAAACGCCTTCCCCTCCACCGGGCTTCAAATCAGCAACGCCAGTGCCAAAATCTTCCTCCCACTAAGTGCAGCCGACTGCTGGGAGTGAAGGGAAGTCACGGGGACAAACCGCTGTGACCACACGGCACTGCCTGTGTCTGCAAATGCAGGACGCTGGGCCCTGCCCCAGGGAAGAGCAGACAGGACACACCGAGGAAGAAGCATGTTCCAGACAGACGGGCGTCCGTGTCAGGGCCACCCCCCTCCCTCCCACCTGTACAGTAGCTCCTCCCTGCAATAGTCAGAACAGACACAAGGAGAGGAACGAAAACTCCACCTCCACGCATGGATCACAGCTGCTCTTGGGAGAACTTTCCACAGGTGGTTAATGTCCTGTCTCTGATCCTCAGAACTCTGCAAGGTCAGTGTGACCATCCTGTCCTAACTCTAAGGGAACAGATGCTCCCAGAGGAAGAGAGAATCCTCCAGGGTCACACAGCTTGCAGGAGGCAGAGCCGAAGTCAATCTCAGCTCCCCCTGTGAGCCCCTCGTGCCCCTCTGCTTCCCTCCTGGACAAAGGGTCTTGTCCTGTCTGCAGGAGCCGCCCCTGTGCACAGACATCTCTGGGAGATGTGGATTCCTGAGTCCTCAGGGAACCACACAGAGCTTGCAGACAGAAACAATGTTACCTTCATAAAGCACTTAGCTGTGCCTGTAAGATTTATCTTAATTCACAGATAATGCCAAATTTTAAGTACACTATGACACAAATAATAAACTTGTCCATGGAAAAAATGAGGTAGGAATGGATACAAATATGTTTTGTTTTCAAGTGTACAAGTCCCATGATGTGTGTTCTGAGGGCTCACCAGCCATCCCAGCTACACAGCTACACATGAAGGAACTGAGTTATGTGACTGTGATTCAAGGCCTTTGTTTAGAATTGGTCCTGCAGTAATTAGTAACTTTTCACTATTTCACATCCAGTATATATTTTCAATTACACATATGTAACCCCTGATATTTCAGAATATCTTAACAAGAGCACCACTGGAGGCCTTCTGCATGGCACAGTTACCAGTGACATGGGACAGTGATGTGTCACAGAATTTGCTACATGGAAGAACACTCAAAATTGAACAGAGCACACAGGATAAAGTGGAAGGATGAGTGCTCACATTTTTCATTTCTGAGCATTACAGCAGATTGTCTAAACAGTTAATCCCCTAACCCAAAGCAGGAAAGCAGTAAAATAACAACAGCAACAATAAAAACCACATTTCAGGGACCCAGCAACATTGTAAGCAAGGGGATCAGTCAGGGGCCCACTGTGCCATGAGACTTAAAGCCCTGGAGTTAGGTGGCATTCTCCTTGTGTTTTCTCCAGAAACACAGCAGTGAACACCGTTCAGCACCCAGTCCTTGGCCTGTGTGCGTTTAAGGCTTCCGGAAGAGTCACCAAAGGATGAGGGGAATGGAGAAGCCTGTAGGTCCCTGGGGAAGGTTTCCATTTTTGGCAAGTAAAGGCAAAGAAAAGATGTCACAGACACTTGTGACACAAGAGATGAGGTTACAAGAAGGTGCTGTAGGTAAAGAAAACAGTTTCCTGAGATAGTTACAGTGAAGATGACCACAGCACTTACCTTTTGCTTCTGTGTGTTTGTGGCCGGGATCCCACTGCTGGTCGGCCTGGGCACAGACTGAGGTCCTGAATCCGCTAAAGGACAGAGAAGGGACGAGGGCTCATTTTGACTTTCTTGTTCGGGGCAGACTGAGACCCCTCCATGGCTTTCTGTGCCATCACACTGTCCTGAACCTGGGTCCCTCACCACAGACACAGGGTTTACCAGATGCCTCAGTGACCCTGAGCCCCTGGCCCTCATGCTAGAGGAGGACACCACAGAGCCCGGGTCCAGGTGTTTCCTTACACCAACCACCTGGGGGCAGGTCAGGGCTCCAACTAGCTGGAAATCAAAGTTAAATTGGTAGCTTCCTGAGGCATATCAGGGGACATCATTTACAATTCAAGCACACATGAAAAATTAAAATAAGAACACCTTGCATGGGAAGAATATCTATAAACCCCTTTAAATCTCTTGATCTATGTTTAATTTGTCTCCCATGTGTGACTCAGTGTTAACATATTTATACCTAGAAATGGATTAATATCATAGTAATGAGAAAAGGAAAGAGCTATAGGAACTAACTGTAAAGTTTTAGGGTTACACTGATAGTGTTAGAGGAATAAAATTATGTATCTATTTAATTTACTAATAGAGTTCTATAGTGCACAATAAACAATTAAAACATACAGAAACAGGAAGCTCAAAAAATAGTAAATAAATGTCTCTTGTCTTAAAGTCGATCTCATGGTACAGTGTTTATCCAGAAAGACACAGCAAGAAAGTGTCCTGTGTCATCAGCACCAACAGCCCCCATTCAAAATGTTGCAGGTGTCATCTTTCTCAAGTAAAAGGAAAATGAAGTTGTCCACAAGGACTAGAGGAGGGAGGCAGAGCTGGCCCGCTTCCCTTCTAGGCTGTGTCTTCAGTCGGGAGTAACCACGAGCTCAGTGTGGGTGGGGGTGTCCAAAGTCACTGGACAGGCCAGAGCTCCACCAGTCACAGGGGACCCACCCAAGTGCCACCTGCCTGGGGCACCTGACCAAAAGTGTCCCGCCACCCTGAGAGACTTCCATTCCCTTTAGTAACAACTCGGGGCTGTTTCCAGGGCACAGAACAGTTGCCCCGGAAGGAGCAGCAGAGCCTGTGGCTCGTGCAGCACAAGCTGAGCTGCCGCCTCCGCCGCGAGCCCCCACCTGTGCATGGAGGGCTCTGCGTGTCCGGCGACCTTCGTGCAGCTGTCTCCATCCCGTATGCCTCTTGCTGCTTCTGACTTTGTATTATTTCCAGTCTTGAAAATAGAGGAAGAACAGACTTATGTAAGAATTAGAACACTCAGTGCCTTGCTAGACACCAACAGTTTTACTTTAAAACAGCAAAAATATCCTTAAAAATGTCCGTCACGCTCACTCACCTGTTCCTCAAGCGGGCAGCCTCCCTGGCCTGCTCCGCCCTCTCCCTCCTGAAAGCCTGAGTCTTGAGCTGTGGGAGAGAAACATGTCCACATCCTGTCCTGGCAGACTATGCACAAAGCCAAGGAAAGGAAAAAATCTTACCCAGTAGTATTGAGCTGCCATTTCGCTAGTGGCAATCTGAAAAATCCAACACGTCAGAGAGATTGTATGTTTAGGTGTCTTGGGGCCATTAAATCATCTGCATTGGGTGCTGAAGGAACATGCCACTGTCAGGCAGAACGCACATTACCTGGTATTTGTAGTTGAGCTCTGCTTCCTGCTGCTGCTCTTTCATGCTTTCTATTTGTTTCCTGTGGGTCAGATTTGCTTTCATCAGATAAAGCACAATATTGAATATGATTTTAAATAATCTGCCATGTTCCCTTTGTCCTCACATCTGTGCCCTTACGCAATTTATCTATACATGTAAAACACATTCCACATGATTGTAAAGGTACAGTAGGATGAAAACTGTTGCTATATTGTTTTCTTATCAATTATTTAATGCCTGCCAGGTTCTGAATTGACATAATTTCCTTCCCCATTCTCAGTATTTCCCTAATTTATCCTTCACTGAGTATCTTTTATCATAAAGCTCTATTCTCCTCATACTAATGTCCTTACTGTATTTCACAGGGCAGTGACAGCTGGGTTTATAAAATGTCACAGTCATTTTGATGGATGTGGTCCATCCTACAGCTGAAAGCTTTCCTAAGGATTATGACAATTTTCATCATCCCTAGAAATGTTTGTGTGAATTGAGTTTCCACTCAGTCTGGCCAGCACTGGGGATCAGGAAATGTTTAGTAACTTAATATCATTTGGTCATTTGTAAAACATAAGGTACTTTGTCTTTCTCATGAGAATTATTTCTCTATGTATATGTTTTCTGACCATATATTTAAATTTATATATTAATTGAGTCTAAACGTTGCACAAAACTTCAAAAAATTCCACCAGGAGTTTGCTGAGAGGCTGGTGTTCAGTCTCTGAACTCACTTGAAGGTCTCTATTTCTTCTGCAGCCAGTTTCACGTTTTCCTCCAGCTGTGACAGCTGTCTCTCCCTTTGTGCCTGCTGAAGTTTTTTCATTCTCACCTTCCTGAGATGGGAGAGAAGTACACATCATGCAGCAGCCTGTGTGGAATTCTCCCCTTCTTCCCTCCCAGCATATGAAGGCTGGGACTCAAAGGTTCCCTGCCACCTTCCCTAAATGTACAGACTGATGATCACGGTCAGAGGGACAACCGAAGCCTCCAAATGAGGGACAAAGAAAAATCAAATTCTGGCCCTCTGGCAAGTCCTCTCCAATTCTGAGCTTCATTCAGAGCACTCTACTCTTATTCATTAGTAAAAAATCAAGGAGTAGCAAAGCACCTGTGAGATACACGATGTGCCCTTTTGGGGTCAGTCACCTGCTTGAGACAGAGTTCATTTCATTGTCATGTGGAACCAGACCTGACCAACTCATCACAACTAGACACATCAGGGTGGAATAGGGCATCGGTAACTTGTCTGAGCCCTCCCATGGGGAGACCCGATTCTCAGTCAGAGGCTGAGCCAGGACCCAGACAGTCAGCCTCAGAGAGATCCCAGTGGGACATGGAGTCATCAGTCCTGCAGTTCACTATGGGACATTTCTCTGATTCAGGATTGGAACTCTTATCACCTACTTCTAGGGTCCTGGTTGAGGGAAAAGACCAGTCTTAGTGCCGGCTACATGCACTGAACCAAAGATGATCTGAAAGTCTCCATAGTCAGGTGTTACCTCCTGCAAACAGATGGCAAGTGGAAAACCACCCAGCTTGGTGTTCATCAGCACAAGGTTGAGTTCATATAAAGTGGAGGCATAAAAGGGCAACAACCTCAAAGCTAGACCTGCTGTGTTACTCTCAGACTGCTTCATTCATGATTCTGATTCAAAGGATGTCACTTGATACTTGATTTAATATGGAGGATGCATAAAACAGAAAGAACTCTAGGGAACAGGGACAAAAACACTTACTAGAGAAAGTTAGGGTGTTTCCTTGTGGCCACCCAGGAAATGCCTCAGCAAATGCTTTCCGAGTGGCTGGAATGCAGTGGGTGCAGTGCAAGGTGCTGTGGACACAAAGGGAAGCAGGGCGCTGTCCCCACCCTAAAGGAGCTCACAGCTTTATGCAGAGGAGCAGCAGTAAGGACGTGACTGCCTTGCCATGCATGTAGGAAGAAGTAACAGAGGACCTGCGTGTTCAGGGAAGCTGGGGAAGGGTTGTGCTGTGGATATGGATGAGTGGATCTGCGTCCCCTGACCTCCCCTGAGAACAGCAGGAATACACAACTGAATGCATCAAATTGCTAACAGGGCAGTAAGGAAACATGAATCCAAGGTAGAGAAGGAGGCCTAAAGTCAGCCTGGCATTTGGGGCCAATTTCTACTAGTTGTATTAATGACTCCCAGAAGAGATGACTGAGATGCAAAGAACCTGAGCACCTATCGACACATGCACAGGTGTAGAAGGAACCTGAGTGGAGCTCAGGGTCTGATAAAACAGTGACCCCCACTGAAGTCCACTGGCTTTGGTTGGGATGCAGAGGAGCTGTGCACTAGCAATGAAGGTGGGCAGGAAACACACTGGCCGTTTTTGGGACTGAATCAGCAGTCAGTGACCTCATTGCTGACTGAGTTAAGGGGATCCAGTACGGCCAGCGACCCTGACAACCTGCTGTAAGTACACACCCATCATCTCTGCAGCAGAATAACATCATATTAGGTCTTAATTTTTGTCTAAATATGTTTTACCCAGTGTCTTTTATTTTATGAAAAATGACTACACATATCACAGGACAATACAATGGTATATGAAGGAAACCTAAAGGATTATACAATGGATCCGGATATTGAAGTTATACCATTTTGGTGTCACTACCTCCTAAGGCCCACAGTGAATTGAAAAGAAGAGTGCATGAAGATAGAGAAACAATGCAGATTAGAGAAATCTAGCCAGGGTTGACAAGCGGAATTCATTACCTAATTAATTGGCCATGAATATTACCAAAAGTATTTTAAAGGAAATCACAGTTGTCTTCACAGATCCACACACATTGTTCACACCACAAACAGTATTGGTATCAATGAGCTCATGAACATCTTACTCTTCTGCTGCAGTCTTTCTTTGTCCATAGATTTCATAAAGATTGTCTACTTTTATCTTCAGCATTCTGAACTTAGCCTCTTTTTTTGCTTTCCTATATTCCAATTCTTCATAGCTATTGTCCAAGTTCTTTTTAATTCCTGGCAGGAACAAAACAGGCTTCTTTGTGTGTGTGCAGGAGGACCTGAAAACTCGGTTGGGGTGGGGAAAGGAGGTGAGAATCCTGAAGGCAGGAAGTCCTTCTTCACCTTCCAGGGAAAACTCTTTTCCACAAGTTGCATACCTTCCAGATGATAGTTATTGGACCTCGAGGCTCTCAGCTTTGATTCCTCCCATTTGTCCTTTACATTTCCTGTCTTTAACACAGATTTGAGAAAAGACACTGAAGAAGTAAGGATTGCACAAAAATGTGAACACACTAAACATTACAAAACTGTGCACTTGAATGTGGTTAAGATGGTGATTATCATGTGATGAATATTTTACTACAGTGAAAAAAAAATTTTTTTAATTAGAAAAGGACATAATTATTTCATACCTTAGGTTTAAGAAAAAAAAATAAATAAAAAAAAAAGAAAAGGACATAATTATGTTTAGGTCTCTGAGTTATGTAATCTGAGGGCGTAAGTTTTGTCACCTGCTTCTCCTCACCATTGGGCTGCGCAGTTTCCTGCTTGCCCTGCCTCCTCCAGCTTTCACTCTCCCTTCCTTGACACCAGCTTCATTATGGGCAATTTGAACATAATGCAAAACACTCTCACTAATGACTAAATTTCCAAGGGTGAAAATTCCTTGTAGATATCACATTATTGTGATCTTTTATGAAATGAAAGTTTGTGGGGTTTTTTTCCAGAGATGGCTTCTCACTCTTGCTCTGGCTGGTCTGGAACTCCCGAGCTCAAGCCATCCTCCAGCCTCGGCCTCCCAGAGTGCTAGGATTACAGGCGTGAGCCAGCGTGCCCAGCCATTAGCAACCAAATTATTACCAAGTTGGATTTTTAACATTCTGATCTCTCTCAAATTGAGATGTGGCACTTGTAGTTTGAATGATGTCATTTACAATTTTATTAGTTCCCTCAAATGTTTCTTTGTGATCCTTAAAAAAATATATTGAACCATTAACATCTATTCATTACTTTTTCTTTTATTTTTAGAATGCAATCCAGGCAAAAACAAGGAGTTTTACCTTAAATTTATGTGGAGTATCCAAAAGAATCTCATTTTCCCTTTTCTTGTCTTGAAGACATTGCTTTGATTCATTGATCTATATAAATACATGATACAAATCAGAATTCAAAAATAATAATTATAGTGCTATAAAAAACCTATCTTCAACTGTGTAACTCCTGACACAAAGAGAGTGGTGCATTATATATATGAAGCTTGCTTGGAATGTGGACAGTTTATACAACATGTGAACTAGGATACTCAGTGAAAGGTGAGGGAGTAAAATAACTGAACTATGGGTGGTGGAAGTAATTTAAACTATAAAAAAATAAAAGTTGAAAGAACAATGATACCTTCTGTTCACAAATGGATATTTTTGCTACAAGCTCTGCATTTTCCTTTGTGAAATTTTTGATCTTCTCAGAAATCTGCTGTAGATTAACTAAAAATAGATAAAAACAAATCTCTAAGATTAGCAAAGCCCAATAAAATTGAATTACCCCCAATGCATTAGCAGCAATTGCTAGTTTTAGTTAGTTGCTTTTCAAATGCAAGAAAACAAATATAAAAATAAGAAGCTTATTTCAATGAAATTCCTATTCAAAATATTTTCAAAGATTAAAAGAAAAATCATCTTTGCCTAATATCTCTCCCATCAATAGGCACTATTCATCTTAGAAAATGTTATCACTTCAAATAGCTGTAGCCTCATCAGAGATAAAACAGAAAAAACAAGCATCCCATCTATAAACACTCCTGTCCTCCAATTATCAAGGCAAATACACAGGTCCCTTCAAAAAAGTCTCTTTCTCCCAGGTCTGAGCCACTTCCAGCCACTCCTTCCAATTCTGGAGAAGGAGCATTCAAGTGTCAATGGATTGGCTACTCGGAGGCCACCAATGTCCTCCTGCTTCCCAGAGACTCTCCTTTCCTGACATCCAGTGTGGGGTCCTGCAACGTGGTGTGAGAAATTGAACACACTCGGGCACAATGTTACCTTGGCAACGTAGTCTCCAGAGGATCTGCATACTTCAAACTCCCTGAAAACCAAGCCTTTTCATCCCCAAGATGAGGATGTTACCACCTCCTGTAAAGGTGAACAACGTGCATCAAGCACCCAGCTCACAGGTGGGAACACGCGTAGAGCACCTAGAATGCAGCGCACAGTTCCAGACGCATCAGACAGGCATTTAATCTGCTCATTTGCCATCTAAGTGCCACCTTATCTTCTATTTGACCATCACAATGGCTCTGCTGCCCTGAAATCAAACTTCTCAACGCCACCAATGCTATAATCACTGAAATGACACCCCCATTTGAGGGCCCATTATATGCCAGGAAGCCACCCTGGCTCCCCAAACATACAGCACCACTTGATCTTCACAGTCTAGGAAGAATGTACAGAATTCATTACCCATATTTTACATCAAGTTCTTTCCACTCATTCTCCACTGGCATTAATGGCTCTCTTCACTTAACCCTCTACACACACTTTCAACCTCCTGTATGACACACACTTTGCCTAGTAATATCTGGGCTTTTGTCTAAGCCTTAAGCTTCTTGGTAGGCTCAGGGAGTGTCCTGATCATTTTCCCATTTCCCCAAGAGCCAGGTCATGCCACAGTACTCCTCCTCCACATTGCAGACTCATGTCATCATTGCTTCCTACATGTTCTGCACAAAGCTAAACTTATCCCATTCTCCACACTCCTCTGATCTCATCTTCCACCTACTCTCTCACCTCAATCAATGGTAACTCTCTCCATGTTGTCATTCACACTTCATCAGAAAAAGAGCACAATTTTCAAGAAGTAAGAAGTCAACCAGGCATAAGAAGTCATTTTATTTACTCCTAATTGAATTAGAACCCCCATGAAATACCAGTGATGACAAGCGATTACAAAGAATATAGAAGCCTGAAAATCTTACCTTGATATTGTGGATGATATATCTAGGAGAGCAAGAAAAAAAATTAAATTTGATGTCAAAACAGAATAAGAAATAGTTTCTCAAGATTTTTTAAAATGCACTTAGGACGGTATTCAGGAAATGCTGGTGATGCATTCCGGGGCCTCAGAAAAGAAGATAATCAAAATGCAATGCCTTTCAGCACACTGGATGTTGATAATGATGGATTATCACCCTGCATGCCTGGTCAATGGTCACTCCACAAAGTGCTGCAGTCACCTCAATAACAACACTGGCTGGTGGTTCAACCAGTGCGATCTAGCAAACCTAAATGGCATTCATCACTTCCATGGAAAATTGCTTACAACTGGAATTCAATGGGGCACATGGACCAAAAACAACTCACCTGTCAAGATTAAATCTGTTTCAATGAAAATTAGAAGAATTTATAATCCATATTTTAAATAATCTCATTTTAAATTGTAATGAAATTTCCACAATTATTTTTGATAATATATTGAAGGTTTTATATAGTTTGTCTTTCTATTTAGTGTTTCAAACATGTTAGCTAAAGTTTAAATATAGATGGCATTTAGATGTTATGGGTTTAATTAGCAAACTTCAATTTTGTAGCATTTTATTAAAGAAACCATGGCTTGTTCCTTTTTACTAGTAACTATATTAACAATATATAAAAAAATTTGTCTTAAGTGAATTATAACTTGTCTTCCTGAAATGTATAGTGATTTCACAGGATTTTACCTTATCTTTGAAACATATAAACCATAGTAAGTTGTCAGGAAAACTGGGGAGAGTACTTTATTTATTTCTATATTTACTTTATATGACTAATTATATAATCTATAGATAATTTCTGTTGAAGACAATTACAAGAAATAACTCTTATACAGATTAATATATAAACTACACAGTGTTTAAAAAATTTCCTATTTCTATGTGATGCTACAATATTATATAGGTAATAAGACTTTGCTGCCAAAATAAAGTTATTCCTGTTTTCATCTTTAAAAAAATAAAAATAAAAAAAAGAAATAGTTTCTAATAGTTAGAAAAGTAATCCAATGAAACTATTATAATCATTTAGTTCAACATTATAAATTCATCATATTGGGTCTCAAGAAACAATAGCCCAAAATATGGCACTTGCATGCTGAATGCTTTGAATCAAAGGAAACCCTAAGGCCTCCAAGGCAAACCTCAGAACCAAGGTCTCTGATCTTCTCCTTCCCAGTATGTCTGACCTTCTTTCTTTTTGGAGTCACTAAGAGGGGCTTTCTCTAAAGTTTCTTTATCTGACTAAAGAAAATTCTACCAGAAGAAATATAATTGTTTTGAAATTCCAGTAAACACAGCCTAACTTCTAGTCAGGTAAACCTCACACTCAATGCCTATGTTCTTCTGTTTCTTTTACCCAGGACATGATGCTTAGCTTTCATCAACAAATTATAAGACATTCAAAAGGACAAAAAGAAAAGCACAATCTGATTAGAGAAAGCAAGTGTTAGAGTCACACTCCGACATGGCAAAGAGGATGGAATTATCAGACTGAAAATTTAAAACCAGTAGGATTCATATGGTAAAGTTAGAAGAACACATGACAGTCCTTAACGTGTATGCACCTAACAGCAGAGATCACAATGTGCAAACCAAAATCTCATAGAACTAGAAGGAGAAACAGATGAATCCACTATCATAGCAGGAAATTCTAATACCCTTCTTTTAGTCATTGACAGATTCAACAAGCAGAAAATAAGTGAGGATATAGTTGAACTGAACAGCACCATCAATCAGCTTGATCTACTGACATCTATAAAAACATTTCATCCTACAACAGCAGAATACACATTGTTCTAAAGCTCAGGTCGAATAATCAAGATAGATCACATTCAGGCTATAAAACACATCCTCATGAATTTAAAGTAATTGAAATGATAGAACGTTTGCTCTCAGGCCTCAAAATTAATCTAGAAATCAATAACAGAAAGATAGCTGTGAAACTATAAAATATTTGAAGATTAAACAATACATTTCTAAAGGACTCATGGCTCAAAGAAGTTTTCTCAACATAAATTTTTAAATCTTTCAATATAAATACTAATAAAATAAGAAATACTAAAATTTGTGGGATGCAGTGAGGACAGTACTATGAATGAAATTTATAGCCTTAAATGCAAATAAAACTTCCAGTGACTGTAAAAGTTTCTGGTTATTTATAAGGATATCTATATGGTGTATGTTAGTATACTCACAGGAAACAGAATACTCCAGAAGAAAATGGCCAATGTAATAGCTCCCAAGTATGCAGCAATAATAATAATCTTCCAAGGAATTCCAAAAAAGTTGGGCCCAAGATGAACATAATCAGGCAGAATATGGACTAGCTGTAATAATAATATTTGAAATAATGAGATGCCTCAAAGGCATTTACAATACATCAGTCACAGAGAATTATCCTGAGACACCCAAACCCATCCTCCAAGAGGAAACTATACCCTCAGATATCTCCAGGGGATTCCACTGCCTGGGGGAAGTTTGGACGTTTCCAGTCTCACGTGTTTTGCATATCTGATAGTGTTGTTAGACATTGTGAATTTGGGTGGTTTTTTATTTTGTGTTTTTTGGTCTATAGTAATTATCTTCCACAACGCCCCCCCCAAGTTATTCATTTAGTTTTTTAAACTGACATATAAAACTGTATGTATTTATCATGCACAACATTATGTTTTGAAGTATACATACAGTGTGAAATGGTAATCTAGCTAACTGACAAGTACTTTACCGCACATAGTTACTGGGTGTCTTTTTTTTTTTTTTTCCACAGAGTCTCACTCTGTTGCTCTGAGTAGAGTGCAGCGGCATCAGCCTAGCTCACAGCAACCTCAAACTCCCAGGCTCAAGTGATCCTCCTGCCTCAGCCTCCCAAGTAGCTGGGACTACTGGTGTGCACCACCATGACTGCCTACTTTTTCTATTTTTAGTAGAGATGGGGTCTCACTCTTGCTCAGGCTGACTAAATGTCTGAAAGTAGACTGCGGTTTCTAGTTCCCCAGGTGCCTTGCCCTCCCTTGTATCTAATGTTGTGCAAGAATCCCTTGGAATTAATACTTTTCTCTCAAATTACGTGGCTCTTTAGAATTTAAAGGTAAGTAAAAAAATACAATAAATAGATGACTTTATTCAGAAGCAGATATCAAATTTTAGTGCTTAAAAATAACCAAGGTGACATAAATAGTGTGAGGTTTCTTTAAAATTCTTGACGTTAATTCTATTAGACTCTTTTTAAAAAATTTTTTATTTCAGCATATTATGGGGGTACAAATGTTAAGGTTATGTACATTGCCCTTGCCTCCCCTCCCCCTTGAGTCAGAGCTTCAAGTGTGTCCATCCCCCAGATGGTGCACATCGCACTATGAATGTAAATACCCACCCCATTCTCCCCCTTCCCACCTGCCTAACACCCAATAAATGTTTTTTTTTTTTTTAACATTTTGGTTACATTTTATATCTTTGCCTCTCCCTAGCAAGGGTTAGAGTTATGCCCTTCTCCTCCACAATGCTCACTACATCCCTCAGATGTGGGACTACCCCCCTATCCCCTGAATCCCTGGTGAACACCACCACCCTTTGAGCACCATAGTGTTAATCAGTCAGTACCAATTTGATGGCGAGTACATGTGGAGCCCATTATTCTGATCTTGTGTCACCTCACTTTGGATAATGGGCTTAAGCTTAATCCAGGATAATATAAGTGGTGCTAGCTTGCTGTTGTTTCTTAGAATTGAATAGTATTCCATTGTAAACATATACCAAATTTTAATAATCCACTCATGAATTGATGGACACTTAGGTTGTTTCCACATCCTTGCTATAGTGAATTGTGCTGCCATAAACATTTGGGTGCAGATGTCTTTATAATAGAATGTCTTTTGGGTAGATGCTCTTTTGAGTAGATGCCTAATAATGCTATTGCTGGGTCGAATAGTATTTCGATTTTTAGCTCTTTGAGATATCTCCAAATTCTTTTCCACAAAGGTCGCACTAATTTGCAGTCCCACCAGCAGTGTAAGAGTGTTCCTGTCTCTCCACATCCTTGTCAGTATTTGTTGTTTTGGTATTTCTTGACACAGGCCACTCTCACTGGGGTTAGGTGATATCTCATTGTGGTTTTGATTTGCATTTCTCTAATGATTAGTGATGTTCAGCATTTTTTAATATATTTGCTGGCCATTATTCTGTCTTCTTTAGAAAAGTTTCTGTTCATTTTTGTTGCCCATTTCTTGATGGGGTTGTTTGATTTTTTCTTGTTAATTCTTTTGAGCTCTAGATAGATTCTTGTTATCAGACCTTTATTGGAAGTGTAGAGAGCAAATATTTTCTCCCATTCTGTAGGTTGTCTATTTGCTCTAATGATAGTTTCCTTGGCTGTGCAGAAGCTTTTTAATTTGATCAGATCCCATTTTGTTTATTTTTGTTGCTGCAGTGATTGCTTTGGGGGTCTTCTTTAAGAATTCTTTGCCTAGACCAATGTCTGAGAGGGTTTTCCCAACCTCTTCTTCTAGGATTCTTAATGTTTCATGCTTTAGGTTTAAATCTGTTATCCATCTTGAGTGGATTTTTGTGAGAGGTGAAAGGGAGGGATCCTGATTCATTCTTCTGCATATAGCTATCCAGTTTTCCCAGCACCATTTATTGAAGAGAGATTCTTTTCCCCATTGTATGTTTCTATTAGACACTTACGTGAATGAAAACAAAGACTTCCACTAAAAGAGTTCAGACTGATTCTGCTAACTGTCCTAGGGATCCCTCTGGATTTAATTGTATGTTGTTGAAAACTCAACATCTTAATTCTAAATGTTTCTTTTAAGACAGTGAATTAAACACAGATAATCATTCAACAGGTTTGACTTGGTATTTACTGAATTCGGAGTGGAATTACAGGTCCAGCAACAATGTGAATGATTTCAGACTTACTCTGCTGAGCAGGATGAGGCAGACACAGAAGAGTGGACATGGCACCATCTATATATATGAAATTCTAAACTAAGAACAATTCCCCTATGATGAGAATAGAGACTTACTGGGAAGAGTTTGAGGTCTCTTTCTGGGGTGATATAACATTGTAGATCTTGAAAGGGCTTTGGGTTATGCTGGTATATGTACTTTCCCAAGGTAGTGACTTACAGTTACAACTTGTAGATTTTGCACTACATAACTTTTTTAAAACAAGAAATCTGTAAGCCAGGCGAGGTGGCTCACACCTGTAATCCTAGCTCTCTGGGAGGCTGAGGCGGGCGGATTGCTCAAGGTCAGGAGTTAGAAACCAGCCTGAGCAAGAGTGAGACCCCCGTCTCTACTATAAATAGAAAGAAATTAATTGGTCAACTAATAAATATAGGAAAAATTAGTCGGGCATGGTGGTGCATGCTTGTAGTCCCAGTTATTTGGGAGGCTGAGGCAGTAGGATTGCCTGAGCCCAGGAGTTTGAGGTTGCTGTGAGCTAGGCTGACGCCATGGCACTCACTCTAGCCTGGGCAACAAAGTGAGATTCTGTCTCAAAAAAAAAAAAAAAAGAAAAAGAAAGAAATCTGTAAAGAAATACTGAATTCTAGTTACTGACAGTTATGCTAAACTATTTAGCAGGAAGTATAATATTGATGTCAGTGATTCAATTGGAAATACATCCCAAATAAGATGGGAGGATGGATGGATAGATGGACGGATAGATACATGTTTAATCATGCTTAGTAAAATGTCAATAAATCAATGTTGTTTGAACATTTACATAATAAAATTTGGTGGTCATTATCAAAATCACCTGCTTTATATCAGTGATTTTTTTAACAGAGTTGCAAAATAATTATTATTCATGTTTTATATGTTTGAACAATTTTAAGCACAATCCCAATTGTGCCTAAAATAATATTTTTTCCCCACTCGATTCATCATTGAGTTGCAAAATGCAAGGATACACTGGGGAATCTTGCAGAGGTGTTTCTTTCTGGTTTTTTATTTTAAGGACAAAGTCCAAAGGGGAAATATATGCTTCATATCTCTTTCCTAGGTAAAGGAAAAATACATTGTTGGAGCTACAAAGGAAATTTACCTAGCAATGAAAAGGAGTAAGCTATTAATATTTTTTAAAATGTGTATAAATCTCAAAATAATTCTGCTGACTCACAGAAACCAGAACAACAATAGAACCCATCCTGCATGAGTCTGTTACATGACATGCTATAAAATGTAGATCAGCAGATCTCAGGGAGGATGGTAGGATGAGGGACAAGGACAGATGGATTAAAAAGAAGCAGGAGGAAACTTTTGAGATTGATGGGTGTATTTATTATCTTGAATTTTGAATGTGGTGATGATTTCATTGCAGTATCCATATTGTAAATTCAACAAATTGTATCCTTTTAATAAAAGATGCTATTTACTTACATAACTTGGCCACACTTAACACCGTAGGAGAAAAAGCTGACACACAAACTGTTAGTTTCTGTTTTCCAGACAAATAACATTTCAAATATTTTTTGAAAGTTAAAAGAATTTTATTTTTACATTTATGAGCAAATTAAAATTGAGAAATAAATGAATACAAACTTACTATGGGTGAGAAGCCTTGGTCTTCTTTGAAACATTCATGAATTGGATGGGTGAAATTCTTTGGAAAATACTCAAAAATATTCACAGACTGTATAGAAGAATGGGAAAAATCATAAAAAATATATTAAAGATATAAATGAAAATAATATATACAGATATGTTTATAAGTATAAATTACTGAAAGAGATGTATAGTCGCTATAATAATACCTGGGTTAATATTCCAACAAAAATTAAGTACACATTGTTGTTTACCCCATTTCTAAAAACATTAATTTTTTTTTCAGTGTTTGCCTTGATTCTGAACCAGGGCACTTAATGTCAGATTTCTGAGCACATACAGATTTGCAGAATATAGTGATCTTATAATCATGATTAAAACTATGAGTATTGAAGTTAGTTAAAAACGTAATACCAAATAACCAATAAGAAGAATCCACCTTCATGGCACCTAAACCAATCAATCCCAACCTCAGAAATCAATATTTAAAGGAAGAAAAATTTTCTGGAATGCATGGCCACCACAACAAAAGGCAAACAGGTCATTTTACAAATCTAGATTGATAAGTATGTGGGGAGAAAATAAATTCAAAATGTAACTTGGACCAATCCACATACCAAGCATCTGTTTTGAGCCAAGAACACCTGTCTAGCACGCAGCCTGTGAACCCTGTAACACGTTCATCTTCAGCCTCACGGCCGAGGGGAGTCCAGCGTGTGCTCCTGGGAAGCAGCACGGCCTGTGAGCAGCCCCAGTCTGAGAGGCAGCAGGAGCTCTCAGCGCACTGGGGAAAGATGTGCATCAAACATGCAAAGGGACAAAGGCCGTCTTGATACCAACTGGTAAAACATCTCCAGTTGTGGGCACTCCTGCGACATGTGACAACTGTCTGGACACCAAAATAAGCAGCGGACTCTTACCTAGATTAGATCCAACACGGCCACTAAAATTTGAGCTTCTCACAGTCTATGGCCATGAGCAAGGAGGGGACGTGGAAAATGCAAGACAGGATAATTTGTCCAAGTGGTCGAAAGTGAGGTAGGGGAAGAGTGCCTAACTGATCTATGAAAATGCAGCCAGGTAAAGGGAAAAAAATTCTAGTAAAGATCATCCAGACATGTCCTCCTTAGTAGACTCAAAAGAAGCAGAGTAGATCCTTCTTTGCTTGGAAGTCTTCCTGGGGGATGATTCTGCCTCAAAGCGACGGGTGTTCTTCATCACCAGACTTTATACATCACTCTCTAAGAATATGGTGCTGCCCATCACAACAAATCTTCTCATCTCCATCGGGTGTTCTCATCTCCCCCTCTCTCCTCCACCCCCCACCCCCGACATCCCCAAGGATAGGAATGTGGTTTTATAATTGGGAGAGTGAAAATTTTCAAGCTAGAAACCTACCATTTCTTCATTTTTGGACAATCCTAAAGACTTTAAAGGCTCTTTCTGTTTTGGGTAAATCAATAATCTGTACATGACACATTTCAGAAAAGAAAGGACAGTAAGTAACTTCTTCACCTTCTGGTCATGTCACTGCTTGTGATTTCTCTATTTTAATCATCCCAGCAGGGGTGGGACTGCAAACTAGTTCAACCTCTGTGGAAAGCAATATGGAGATACCTCAAAGTGATACAAGTAGATCTACCATGTGATCCAGCAATTCCACTACTGGGCATCTACCCAAAAGATCAAAAGTCACTTTATGAAAAAGACTCCTGCACTCAAATGTTTATAGCAGCACAATTCACAATTGCAAAGTTGTGGAAACAACCCAAGTGCCCAACAATTCATGAGTGGATTAATAAAATGTGGTGTGTGCATACCATGGAGTACTATTCAGCTTTAAGAAACAATGGTGATATAGCGCCTCTTGTATTTTCCTGGATAGAGCTGGAAACCATTCTACTAAGTGAAGTATCTCAAGAATGGAAAAACAAGCACATGTACTCACCAGCAAATTGGTATTAATGGATCAACATCTAAGTGGACATATAGGAAAAACATTTATCAGATGTCAGGCAGGTGGGAGGGGGGAAGAGGGGATGGGTATATACCTACATAATGAGTGAGATGTGCAACATTTGGGGGATGGTCACGCTTGAAGCTCGACTTGAGGGGAGGAGGGGGGCATGGGCAATATACATAACCTTAATATTTGTACCCCCATAATATGCTGAAATAAAAAATTAAAAAAATAAAAAATAAAAAAATAAAACTGAGCTTATTACTATTTCAGTTACATTAAAAAAAAAATCATCCCAGCAGGGAGCAGCCATTGATTTTCACATCTGTTGGGCTTCTCAAGGCCCCCAACAAACTGTTTGGACACAGAGTCCGTAGGGTCAACTTTCAAGAGCACAAGGAAGGAATGACTCAGAAGCTCCTACAAGTCAACAAACCAGAGAACACAAAGCACAAGTGACAATTCACTTTCAACACACTGGTACTAACGGCAGTGATTTGGTACCACTGTTTCCAGGGCTGCCAAGCTTCCAAATACGAATGACGGACTCGCAGGGAAACAACTGCACATGGGACAGCACAAAACCTGCAGGAGTTGAGGAGGATCTCACACAGGGCTTCCAGGAACCAGTCAAATGCCCATGAAGCCTATTAAGAAAGAGTTCCTTATGTTTTCTAGAACATCTTTAATGAGGTGTAGTCACATACCATGCAATTCCCCCCAGTAAATGCTACAATTCAATGACTTTTAGCATATTCCCCAATCCTTCCTGTATGACAGTGCACAGTTACTATGTTCACGTTCCACGCTGTCACCCTTTCCTGTGTTTGGACCAGCCCCCCTTGATGTGCACAGGTGTGGGCAGAGCGGCCAGGCTGCTCAAGACACCCTCACTGAGGTCCTTGGTCTGCAGGAAGGACAGAGCTCCCATCATAGCCCCTGTGAAGTGCTGTTTTGTAAACCACAGTGTGTCGCAGCCCAACATAAAGGGGGAGACTGTGGCGTGTCCAGTGTGTACTCACATTCCTGGATGGGTAACAGGGAGCGCTGAGCAGAAGAATCAAGAACAGCCTCTTCACCTCCATGTCCGGGGCCTCTCAGCGTGTCCTGAGGTCGCCAGGAAGGAGGTGGGTTGGGTTAGCAGGTGGGGAGGAGGACTTATGGAGACAGGGCTGGGAATGGGGTCGGGGTTGCAACTGGGGAGAAGGGGAGGGTGCGGAGGGAAAGGGGGGTGTTGGGCACCTGGGAGAGGAGGAGAAAGAAGCGGGGCGCTGGGAAGTATGGGGTCAAACCAAGTCCTCGAGCAGTGGGAGGAAGGCTTAGGACAGGTCAGGGTGTGAGCAAGTCAGCTGGACAGCAGTGCGCAAGGGGCAGGTGAGTAGGACACTCGGGTTAACTCGAAGGGGCACAGAGAGCTGCGTTTCCGCTCAAACGTTACCCTGTGTGGTCGTTGCTGTAGCAACGAGTGCTGTACACTCCGTGAGGACCAATCCTGACCCTGACGCTTCACAGGGGACGCCCCGCGCGGCCCCAGCGCTCAGCAAGGAGCCCCCTCCCCGCCGAGGCCTCGCCAGGCTCTGTCCCGAGGACAGGTCCACTCTGGAACCTTCGCTGGCCTTTGACTTCTCGTCCTCCCCATCCCAGTTCCCCTGGCCCAGCTTCTGGGCTTTTCCTTCTTTCCCGAACTCCTAAGGTTTCCCATGATAATGGATGTTATCATTTTCACTATTGTTGTGTATACCGTTCTTTGCTGGAGCAAAGAAATGTTAACTTTAATAGCTGTCGGTAATTGACAGTTTTTATATTATCGGTTATATCCCCATGTAATTACACAGATGCTCATACATAGCTTGTGGAATCAGTGCAAGCTCTGGAGCCACCTGCTTCCTTTCCTGGCTCCATCACTTGTTAGCTGTGCGATCTGGGCAACTTAATTAGCCTCGTCATGCCTCTGTTTCCTTACCTAGAAAAGAGATATAATAAGAGTCCTTAACTCGTTCAGTTGTCATGAGGGGTAAATGATTCATGTTGTTAAATATTGGCTGTCATGATCATCCTTCAAAAAGTGTCATTTTCAGAGCCACAGACGAGGCCACAGTGCCACCTGGTGGCCATGCAGTGTAAATTCACATGCACCCCCACTGCCCTCCCTCCACCCTAGGGCCAAGGCTGGGTAGGCAAGAGAAAGAACTTTCACCTGCATCTGCCTTCCTAGTACCCACACACAGATTTCCATATCCTCCTCCTCACTCCCCCTCAAATGGGGTCCAGGGTGTGCGACACAGCTGGGTGATCCACAGGCGTTCACTGCCTCTGCTAGCGCTGGGAGGTAACTGGAGGATCATTGTTTCGCCTTTCTTGTGTTCTGGGCAGATGCCAGGGCTGGGGAAACTCAGGCCCTCAAGTTTCTTGCTTTGGAGAGCCACATTTTCCCTTGGTACAGAGGGTAAAGGTCATATGAAGCCAGAGACCGCTGACCTGCTTGTGTCATGGGACCAAACTATAAAGACCTGAACGACCCGTGTTAAATAGGCAAGGTTCAGATGCTGCCCAAGGGCCTCCTACCTCACCGCCTCTGCTGAGAGAGGAGGGTGAATGCTTTGTCGTCCCAGAGCTCTGGGAGCTTAGCCCCGCATGAAATCTCTTGGCAGCCTCAGACTTTGTCTTTAACATTTGTGCAAATTCTGCATCCTGTTTCCTATTATATTAGCATGTTTTAGGGGAAAAAATACCAACTTCTTAAAAATACAAGAGAAATCAGTGCTGTAAGATAACGTTATTTTTTTAAAAAATCATGTTATTATATTTTTAAAATCTTTCCCACCACTCTTTCTTCCACCAAAGAATGCCAAATACTTGTTTAATGAATATTATTGAATGCCTACTATGCACCAGATGTGATTTATGGTCTTGAGGATACAGCAGATAACAAACCCACAAGGTCTCTCTCCCATGTAGCTTCCATTCTTATATGATAATGATAATGTTTAATGTCAATTAAACTATTACTACATGTCAGACATAGTACAAAAACATTTCCATACATTACTACAATTAAACTTGGTAACAGGCTTACAAAGTAAACAGTTATTTTCCCCAATATTTCCCTTAAAGAAAACTGAGACTCAGAATGGTGAAGTATCCTGTACAACTTCACATCACTAGTAGTATTGAGACCTTGGGGTTGAGAATGAATGCCTGTCTCCTCCTAAAGGTCTTGCTATGTGTTCTATGGCACATTGAGTGTAATTTTACCACAATGAATGAAATTTTCATAAGATGATTTTCTTGTCTCAAGTCCGAGAGTACCTCCTATAATAATTGCCTCCAGTTATGAATTTCTGGTTCATAAAGATGCCACTGTAATGTGTAACCAGGTGGCACATGGAGATATGACCAAAGTAATCATTTCTTACATTTTGAAATATTTAACAAAATGTATATCTGGTGATACTTTGACTAGAAGTCACAAGACCTTCATTCTAGCTGTGGAACTCTGCTATGGAATAGCTGACAGAACTTCCAGAATCGCCTCTGCATTTCTGCCTGTGTTCCAGTTTCTGATTCATTCATTCATTCACCTACTCATTCTACAGATATTCATGGAAATCCTATACTTTCTAAACACCAAGACATCGTCGTAAGCCAAAGCAAACAGCTCCTGCCTTCATGCCACATTCCAGTGGATTAGTTGACCCACCCAATGAGCCAGCGGCCCATACAAAGAAAATTGCTCAACTGGAATTGTGATGCTAGGGACTAAAACGGCACAAGAAGATGACTTCTACACCCTTATAATTTTGCCCCATTAACAAACCTAACTGCCTAATCCCTTGCCTGTCAAACTACTCTTAAAAACCCTGTCTCTCAAATTGTCAGGGAGGAGGATTTGAGAAATTTCTACCATCTCCCTGCTTAGTGCTATGCAGAACAAAGGTTCTTTCTCTGCCTAAAACCTGCTGACTCAGCTGGGCGTGGTGGCTCACGCCTGTAATCCTAGCACCTGGGAGCTGAGGAGGGAAGATCACTCAAGGTCAGGAGTTCGAAACCAGCCTGAGCAAGAGCGAGACCCCCATCTCTACTAAAAAAATAGAAACAAATTAATTGGCCAACTAAAAATATAGAAAAAATTAGCCAGGCACGGTGGCACATGCCTGTAGTCCCAGCTACTCAGGAGGCTGAGGTAGAAGGATCGCTTGAGCCCAGGAGTTTGAGGTTGCTGTGAGTGGGGCTGACGCCATGGCACTCTAGCCCCAGCGACAGAGTAAGACTCTGTCTAAAAAAAAAAAAACCCAAAAAACAAAAACCTGCTGACTCAGAATATTGGCTTCTTCTTGGGCAGTAGGCAAATGAACCTGGTTGGGTGGCAACAAGATGTCTCTGTTCTCTCTCTCTCTCTCTCTCTCTCTCTCTCTCTCTCTCTCTCTCTCTCTTCTGCTCCCTTCCTTGGGCAAATCCAGAGTCCACAAGCAACACGTTTTACAAAAGAAAGGACAATAACTCGTTCACTTCCTCCTCAGGTAACTCCAGGTGACTCCTTCCTCTATTACAAACAACCCAGCAGAGTGCAGCCATTTATTTTCATATCTGATGGGCTTCTCAGGGCTCCCATCAAACTGGTTGGACAGGAGATCCCTAGGGGCAGTCTCCAAGAGAAGAAGAAAAGGAATGACTCAGATGTTGCTAAAAGTCAACAAGCTACAAAGGACAAAGCACAACTGACATTTCATTTTTTAACAGACTAACACCAATGATTAAGTGCCAGTGTTCCCAGGCTGCCAAGCTGTCACAAATATAAATGATATACTTATAGGGAAACAAACTATATATGCTGGATGGGCCCAACCTTGCAGAACTTGAAGCAGGATCTTGCACAGGTTTGTCAAGAATGCCCATAATTCCTATTAAATAAGAATTCCTTATGTTCTTAAAAATAACTTTATTGAGAAATAATTCACACAGCATACACCTTTCCCATTTAAGGCATACAACTCAATGGCTTTTAATATAGTCACAAATCCTTTTTTTTGTGTGTGTACATACCACATTTTCTTTATCCATTCATCTGCTGATGGATACTTAGGTTGATTCCATATCTTGGCTATTGTGAATAGTGCTCCAACAAACAGGAGAGTGCCAATATCTTTTCGATGTACTGATTTCCTTTCTTTTGGATATATACCCATAGTAGGACCAGTGGGTCATATGGTGGTTCTATTTTTCATTCTAATTTTTGAGGAAACTCCTTCCTCTTTTTCTCTATAGCAGATATACTAATTTATATTCCCACCAACAGTATATGATCACTCCCCTTCTCTGCATCCTTGCCAGCATTTATTTTCTGAGGTTTTAGTAGTGGCCATTTTAGCTGGGGTAAAATGATATTTCATTGTGGTTTTGATTTGCATGTCCCTGACGATTAGTGGTGTTGATGTAGAACATTTTTTTCAGATGCCTATTGGCCATTTGTATGTCTTCTCTTGAGAGATGTCTATTCAGATCTTTTTACCATATTTAAATTGGATTATTTGGGTTTTTTGCTATTAAGTTTTTTGAGTTCTTTATATTTTTTGTCTATTAATACCTTGATGGATGAATAGTTTGCAAATATTTGCTCCCATTTTGTAGGTTGTCTCTTCATGTTTTTGGTTGTTTTTTTGTTTTGTTTTGTTGCTGTGCAGGAGCTTTTTAGCTTGATGTAATCCCATTTGTCAATTTTGCTTTGGTTGCCTGTGCTTTTGAGGTGTTATTCAAAGAATCTTTGCCCAGACTAATTTCCTGAAGGATTTCTCCAATGTTTTCTTCTAGCAGTTCCATAGTTTCTTTCTTTCTTTCTTTTTTTTTTCATAGGTGAATTTCAACCCATATAGTTTCTTACATTAAAGTCTTTAACCCATTTTGATTTGATTTTTATATCCGGTGAGAGATGGGGGTAGTTTCATTCTTCTGTGCATGGATATCCAATTTTCCCGGAACTACTTATTGAAGAGACTGTCCTTCCACCAGTGTAAGTTCTTGGTACCTATGTCAAAAATGAGTTGGCTTTAAATGTGTGGATTTATTTCTGGGTTTTCTATTCTGTTCCATTGGTCTATGAAATCCTTCCTTTTTGATGCTGTAAAGTTTCTATTTTCAGTTTCCCATCGTGTCAGCTTGCTGTGTTTGGGCTAAGCAGGGCTTGCAGGATTTAGAACTTGATGCAGACAGGTGGGGCCATAGCCCCTTCAGGCTGCTGAAGAAACCTGTGCTGAGGTCCTTGGTCTGCAGGGAAAACCAAATCTCCATCGAAGACCCCATGAAACATTGTATGTAAACCGCAATATGGAACAGTCCAATAAATAGGAAGAATCTGTGTCATATCTAATATTTACTTACACTTGTGGCTGTGTGGCTGGGATACCCCAGCAGGAGGAGCCAGAAGAGAACCCTCTGCACTTCCATGTTCAGGTCCCTTTTAGATCACCTCGGGTGTGAGGCTGGAAGCAGAGGGGTCTGAGACAGGGGTAGGACATGGTTGGCGGGAGGCAGCGCAAGTTTGGGGCCCTAGGGAGTGG